TACGTCTCCATGTGCCTTCGTTTTCAGGGAATGGTGGGCGAGAAAATCAACACAGCACTCCTGGCCGACTAACCTACTGAGCAGTTCATTGCATTCCAGGCCACAGCACTGAGTAGCGTGTTGCATATTTAATACTCTCCAGCGTTGCCTAATGCATTTTGCTGAATTCAGCACATGCAGACACATAATTTAAAATCCAATAAAAGTCTTAACGGGATGGACGTTCTGGGGGAGAGCGAAGCGGTGCCGTATTAGGCGGAATATACCACACAGCAGTTTGTAAAAAAATGCCTTCTGCTGGGGAGTGAGTCGAAGAGAGAGATCAGGAGGCAGAAGGGTCCTAAAGGAAAGTCCTTTCTGTATCATTGTGAATAAAACCTGTTTAAAGTTACCAGCAGCTTTTCTTGATTTTTCTGTCCACGTTAAAAACCGCCCCTTGTTCTCTCTCTCTATGGCAATGTATATACGGTATAGACTCAATCAACTGTGACGATCACAGACACATTTTGCTGCCCAGGGAGAAAGACAAGGAGATTACTCCCCTTGTCACTCCATGTGTAATATCACGCTGGAGGTTAGATTACCCTCCCATTATCCTGTACAATAACCTTGTAACATGAGTGTGTCACTAAGTCATATTGCTGATTCAGAGCTATGCTAGTAAAGAAATAATTTAACCAGTTAAGGAACAACTTCCCATAAGATGATGGGAAAGGGGGAAGGGAGTCCTTTGCCAGTGAAGCTGTTGGAGTTAGATACATTGAGAAATGGCTAGAAGTCTTGTATTAAAAGGACAATAAAACAGTGGAGGCAACACAAGGGATTAGTAAAAAAGGATGGCAGCAAGCGTTGGTGTAAGCCGACCTGAATCCCTCCCCCCCCCCCCTTTAAAAGGATAGGTTAGAAATGTGGGGAAAAATAAAAATTTCTCTTTTTCAGGGAACAGTATGCGAAATGGCATGTCACCTATAACGAAAGAGGCATTCTGCATCACTAGGGAGGGATTACTTAGTTCAGGAACACATCAGATTTTTCCGTTAATTTTAGACCTGGTGGAATATCCTCTAGAAATTGTTCTGTAACTTTGAAAACTTGTTTGTATCTGGAAAATGAGCCATATGAATAATATCCCATTATGGCTTTTAAAATTTTAGAATAAAAGTTTTCAGCTCACAAATTTCTCCTCTTTCATATCAATCTAGTTCATAGGTGTTTAATATGCTGGATCTGCGTCCTGGATCATGGGAAGCAAAAACATTCTTAAGGGAGGGAGGGAACAGATTGAATTCATCATACAGAGAGGAGTCATTCTTGTCTTCCAGAACTGAGGAAGGAATGGCATAAGAAAACTTCTCTGGACATCCCCTCTGCCTTCTGCCTCAACCAAAAAGCAGTGGTAATGACAATCAAAATACACAGGATCAGGTTTCTGCACATGGGTAGGAATTGGAAGTACTTTTTCGGGTCAGGGCTGGTGATATTATCCTCCAGTTTTGGTTATTGTTGTTTATTCATTCAGTCGTTTCCAACTCTTTGTGACCTCATGGACTAGCCCACGCCAGAGCTCCCTGTCAGCTGTGGCCACTACAGCTACGTTTTGGTCAAAGATCTGAATTTGCTTAGTGTTTCATATTAAAGGACTAGAAACTGGGTTTGAAAGGGATTAAATACCCTAAAAGCTGGTCCCATCTGTGAAGTCTTTGCTCTGCCTTTTTCTCTCCTCTGCTTCAGTTCTCCCTGTTCATAGATTTCCCCAGTAGTGTAAATATCTTCCTTTGTATTGTCGAAGGCTTTCATGGCTGGAATCACTAGGTTCTTGTGGGTTTTTTCGGGCTATAGAGCATCAGGACATCTGTCATTTAAGATAAATTTCAGTGGCAGAGGTAGAATAAGTGTTCTGACAGATAGATGTCCCTAGCCGCCTTTCCCATCCCACCAAAGAGAATGGTTATGTATATGCATATATGACAGAATGAGAGAGATAGGCAATACTCACTCAATAGGTTTCCCTCTAATCTCAGACATGATTGAGCTTTCCCCACCAAGGTATTCATAGCACAGGCTAAGGAAATTGTAGATAACAAAAGCTGCCAAAAGAAAAAGAAGAAAAATGGAAATAATTGCTAAATATCACTAAGTATACTCGAAGTACTTTAAAATAAGTGCTTTTTAAAAAAACAGGAGGGGGAAACAACAAAAGGAGGAAATATCCCTTCCCCCACAAAAAGCATTTTCTCCTTGTTGTATACCATCAAGTTTCTGATTTATGATAACCCTATAGCGACTCTATTGTGGGGTTTTCTTGGCAAGATTTGGTTGATTTTATCCTTTTATCTTCCTCTGAGGCTGAGAGAGTATGACTTGCCCAAGGTCACCTAGTCCCCATGGCCGAGCACACCGACTAACACAACACTGGCTCACTCCCCAAATGTCTACATCCTATCAATTCTAAAAGAATTTAACACTGCATGCAATAGGACCATGACCAAATTAAAAAATATCTATTATTTAAGGTAAAGGTAAAGATTTCCCCTTGACATTAAGTCTAGTCAAGTCCGACTCTGGGGGTTTTGTAGCTGAAGAGACGGCTTTGTCCGTAGACATCTCCAAGGTCATGTGGCCGGCATGACTTTATGGAGCACCGTTACCTTCCCATCAAAGCTGTTCCTGTTGATCTACTCACATTTGCATGATTTCGAAGCTAGGGCTAACAACGGGAGCTCACCCCATCCTGCAGAGTTGAATTGCCGACCTTTCGGTCAGCAAGTTCTGCAGCGTAGCGGTTTAACTTGCTGTGCCACTGCGGACCCATCTATTAATTATATGAGTTTAATTAAAATCTCTCAATGAATGAAATAATAGTGTGAAAGATAGGGGCAATCTGTCCAATAAGACCTGTTTTCTGCATCAAAGTTTAATCCCTACATAGTTTCCCCCTTCCCTGCTTTCAAATTTCAAAGCATATCTCATTTCCTTTGAATTATATATTGCTATGGAAGCAGATTAAACTACTTGGGAAGGGAGGGCATGCAGGAGATTTCCCATGGAAGGGCATAGGCAATAAAAAAGCACTGTAACACACTGAGCAATAAACAAGCCAGAATAGGATGTCTTATTGCAATATCGGATGATGGGGAACTGTGTGCATAAGGGGTTTTAAACACCTCCTTGCATAGCCATGTAAAGGAGTCCCCAGTGGCACAACAGGTTAAACCGCTGAGCTACTGAACTTGCTTGACTGAAAGGTTGGCAGTTCGAATCCAGGGATTGAGGCGAGCTCCCACTGTTAGCCCCAGCTTCTGCCAACCTAGCAGTTCGAAAACAGGCAAATGTGAGTAGATCAATAGGTACCGCTCCGGTGGAAAGGTAACGGTGCTCCATGCAGTCATGCTGGCCACATGACCTTGGAGGTGTCTATGGACAACACCGGCTCTTCGGCTTCGAAATTCACATGAGCACCAACCCCCAGAGTTGGATACAACTAGACTTTATCAAGGGGAAACCTTTAACTTATAGTCAAGTAAAAAGCACAGCCACTACTGTTACACTAGTGAAATTTTATAGTGGGAGCAAAGTTTTAATAGATTTTTACGCTTTTAATATTAATCTCATACTAGGGTTTAATATAATAAACTTTGTTTTTATACATATTTATATGTATATGTACAGTATTTCGATTGTTTTGTGAGCATTGTTTTATATTGATGGTTAGTCACATTGAATCTCTATATTGAGAGAAAGGAGAGATAAAACTAAAGTAAACAAATAAATACAAAAAACAATATTTATTTATTCTCAGTTTTCCTGTCTTGACAGAGACTCGCAGCATAAAAAATGGAATTTAAAATATACAACATATAAAATTAAAATAGATTAATCAAATACTTTTGTATGTGTGTCAGAAGCGACTTGAGAAACTGCAAGTTGTTTCTGGTGTGAGAGAATTGGCCATCTACAGGGACGTTGCCCAGGGAACACCAGATGTTTTTACCCTTCTGTAAGAAGCTTCTCTCATGTCTCTTCATGGGAAGGTGGAGCTGACAGACGGGAGTTCACCCCATCTCACAGATTCAAACCACCGACCTTCAGGTTAGCAGTTCAGCCGGCAGATAAGTGATTAAATGCAAATGTGCCTTGGGTTTTGTGGGGACATTTTGCTTCTGTATTTTAGTGGTGGAGTCTCCTTCTTTGGAGGCTTTTAAGCAGAGGTTGGATGACCATCTGTCAGGGGTGCTTTGAATGTGATTTTCCTGCTTCTTGGCAGGGGGTTGGACTGGATGGCCCACGAGGTCTCTTCCAACTCAGTGTTGGAACACTATTCTGAGCTTACACTAGGGAAGAAATGTATGTTGCAAATCTTTATATTTAATTAATGATACAAGCTTTCTATGACTACTTTGGTGACAATCAATCTCATAACGCCTTCAACTATATCTATGGTATGATCACACTTGGAATACCTTTGTTAAGGTCAAGTCATCACTTTGTGAAGATTGTACTGATGAAAAAATACTGTAGTGATAAAAAGAATGGAAAATGAGGACTAGAATTACCAAGGGCCCAGAACGCCTCTCCTATATAGAAAATAGCAATATTTGGGGTTCTTAAGTTTACAAAAAAACAAGTAAGCAAAGAAGTAGAAACATTCAGGGTCTTTTTTAAAACACTGTGTTACCACAATCCATCAACCATCTTTAGGTGTGGCCATACAGGTTTAGGGATTCTGGGGTGGTAGCCTCCACAAAATAACTTCTCCAAGCTCTGAGAGAGATGTATATAATGAACTATGGTGTGAAGGAACACCGTATTGGAATATGGTTTTCTTCTCTCCCTCTAAATACTAAAACTCTACGGAAACCCTACTATTGGAAGAGTAAGGACAAATACACAAAGTACATCCTCAAGCAGGACAGAATTAAATTGTGAAATGTTGTCAAGTCTTACATGGATTTACTAGATTTGAATATTGAAAGTAATGAAAATAATATGAAACACCATACCTGTCGTGCCTGAGGGCCCGCATGTCAACATACACTGTGGTTGGATCAGGCCCAGATGTCCCCTGGAAAAGAAAACATTTCAGTTAGCACTCTGCACCGAATAGGCATTTTGGATATTACTTACCACAGAAGGAAAAGAAGACAAAACAAAAGTATTTTTTACCATATTGTAATGGTAAAAATATAGATTACATTAGTAGCAGGGAAGGGGGAATCTAATACCTTCCTCGGCATACTCATTTACCTGTTGGTTGCAACTATACCGTTACGCAATTTCCTGTGTTGTTAAAAACTAGTGTCAATGTAAAAGTAGTGAAAGATACACATGTTTGGCAAAATATGAAGAATCAGCTGAGGACAGACAGTTTGTAATGGCATAAGCAAGCGGTCAGGTGAAAAGCATGGATTTGTTGAAATACACATGCAGAAAGTTTATTTGAAGTCAATGGTATTAAAGAGCAGAATGTGTGACATCAACAGATATGGAAAAAAAAACATAAGCAGTTATTCTGATCCTTTTTACATCATCCTACAGGTGTGATCTGAAAAATGGTGTGATCTGAAATGTTGCTTCTGCTAGTAGAAATCTGAAGTACATTCATGTGCCAACTCTGCAATACTCTTTCACTCCCCCAGGAATTTCAACTCTTATGGAGCGTAATTGGGAGTTTTTTCCCCTTAAGAATCTGCTAAACAGTGGTTCTCAACATGTGGGTCCCCAGATGTTTTAGCCTTCAACTCCCAGAATTCCTAACAGCTGGTGAACTGGCTGGGATTTCTGGGAGTTGTAGACCAAATCACCTGGGGACCCACAGGTTGAGAACCATTGTGCTAAACACATGACTGCCATCCAACAGTGAAAGAACTCTACTTACAGAATCAGTCTATTTATCAAAAATCGCAGAATGTATAATTTGGATTAGAAAATTTCTAACCAAGACTGGAATCCAACTTTGACTTTAGACATTTCTACACGAACATGTATGAGACATTTCACATGTCTGTGTAAAAAATGTAAGAGAAAAGAGAAAAACGAGAATATATATGGGTTGTTGTAAGTTTTTCGGGCTGTATGGCCATGTTCCAGAAGCATTCTCTCCTGCATCTATGGGAGGCATCATCAGAGGTTGTGAGGTCTGTTGGAAACTAGGACAATTGGGTTTATATATCTGTGGAATGTCCAGGGTGGGAGAAAGAACTCTTCTCTGTTGGAGGTAGGTGTGAATGTTTCAATTGGCCACCTTGATTAGCATTTAATAGCCTGGCAGTTTCAAGGTGTGAGTTCTTACTGCATGTGGGAATCCTTTGTTGATAGGCGACTAGCAGTCCCTGATTGTTTCTTGCCTGGACTTCCCATGTTTTTGAGTGCTGTTCTTTATTTACTGTTTTCATTATAGAGTTTTTTTAAATACAGATAGCCAGATTTTGTTCATTTTCATGGTTTCTTCTTTTCTGTTGAAACTGTCTACATGCTTATGGATTTCAATGGTTTCTCTGTGTAGAGAACGTCAGGAGAGAATACTTTTGGAACATGGCCATACAGCCTGAAAAACTTACAACAAACCAGTTATTTCGGCCATGAAAGCCTTTGATAATACAAGAATATATAGGTTTGCAAGGGGGAAAAAAGGGGGGGGGTTGATATTCTACAAGCACACTAGAAAGAAGGCTATACCCCCAGACCTTGGAAAAGTGGGGAATTGCCTTGCCAGCATCTCATTATGAACCAGGATGATATACAGATACTGGGGCATATACAGAAGAAGGGGGAAGAGGCCAACTAACCTTTACAAAGCAAATGTTAACAAGAAAGAGTGTTATTTCCCTTTTAGGTTTCCCTAGTGGTTTCTGGAAGTTTATGTTCTCGTGCTCTGCCTTTCTGCAGAGCTTCTATACCGAAGAAGGCAAGAGATATCTAGACAAGTAACATTTATGAAACACGGATCAGCAACCCACCACCAAGACAGCAAGAGAGAGTTACGAGAGGGGCAACATGCGCATTCGCCATTTCAGCTTGTTATAAAAGCCAACAACAAGAACACAAATTCCTATCTGGCTGGCGCAGAGGAAAGAGTTTTTCAATGTGCAAATAGACTCAGCAGTGTAACAGACTAGCGCTGAGTGGAGAACCTCATTTCAAGCATCATTAATGGCGGGGTGGGGAAGGTCGATCTATAAATATTACCTTAGGAAATGTTTTCATAGCTGACTAGAACCAGTTTATAAAAAATCAATTATAGCAGTCTGAACATTAACTGTTAAATTTGTTTTGGTTTGTTTCAAAATCTAAGGCATTCGCGATGAAGGCTACCTTTTAACGAAGAATGTATCCAGATCGAAACAAGAGATTTATTTCCTATCCCCAGACCAATGAGGGAACTGCATGGTGCCAAAGCACCTGAAGGATGGGGCAATTTGACACACAGCAACCCCGACCAACCCTCACCAGATCTCCAGACTCCCATCTAGTCTGTCCCACTGTTAAGAGCGGAAATGTGGATACCTTTAGGGAACACGAAAATCCCCTACCTGCTCGGCCAGTTTTCCCAGCCTGTGTGGCTACAGCAGCAGGAATAGGAGGGATATGGGGAGAAGGAAAGACGGCAACACATGGAAAATAATAAAAAGGGGTGACGGCAGAATGGAAGTTGGGAGGAAAATCAAAAGAGGATAATGCAAAAAGCAGGGAGTAAAATAAAAGGAAAAACCATGTCAAATACAGAAAACTTTCAAATTAAGCCATTATACCGCTTAAAGGTTTTCAAATGATAAAAAAAATTATGAGGTGTCAACATTTTAGCAGAGCAAACAGAAGAGACAGTAATAGACTCACTAACCTTTGACAAACAGAGTTAAGCAATTTAAAAGACAGTATAGACAATATTGTTAGTGGACAGTGTGACTCAAAGAACTCACTCCATCTTTCAAGTGAAACATAAAAGACAATGATATACAGCCTCTCTTGGCATTTTCCAAACTTCTGAGACACAGAAAATCACACCTTTGGGTGGAGTACGTGTGTTAAAATGTAAAAGGTGGACTTTCCTTGGATGCACAAGAAATCAACCAACCTCTCTCTTTCCCTCTGTGTGTAAGAGCTCTTTGTCATAAAGGTATCTATGTATTGGGTTGTTGTAAAGGGATCTACGTATTGGGTTGTTTTTCAGGCTATATGGCCATGCTCTAGAACAGTGGTCCTCAACCTTGGGTCCCCAGATGTTTTTGGCCTACAACTCCCAGAAATACCAGCCAGTTTACCAGCTGTTAGGATTTCTGGGAATTGTAGGCCAAAAACATCTGGGGACCCCAGGTTGAGAACCACTGTTCTAGAAGCATTCTCTCCTGATGTTTCGCCTGCATCTATGGCAAGCTATGCATCTATGTCACAGACCTCACAACCTCTGAGAATGCTTGCCATAGATGCAGGTGAAACATCAGGAGAGAATGCCTCTAGAGCACGGCCATATAGCCCGAAAAACCTACAACAACCCAGTGACTCCAGCCATGAAAGCCTTTGGCAATTATATATCTACGTATTTCTATGTAAGTCACTGTTCTGAGCATCCCTTCTCTGCATGCAGGTAATTCTGCAGTGGAAGCATTGAATTATCTATGCTTCTCTGCAGAGACATGACTTGAGATCACTGACTGGAAAGAAGGGCAAAGCAGTGAATCTTTCCAAGATAAGGTGACTGGTTGGTGACCATAGAAACCTTCTATCCTTTGGGGTGGGGGAGGGGGCAATGTATATTTCTTGACATACTAATAATTCTACCATGGAATAACATTTAGGAATTATTGCCCTAACTAATTTAAGAACCATGTTTACTTTACTAAGAGATTCTTAATATGTCTCATTGCTTTTACACCCCTCCCCCAAAGGATAGAGGTCTGTATACACTGATCTTGTGTAAGTTGAACTCATTTATAAGTTGAGTGCAGGTTTGGGGGCCAAAATTATGGATTTTGATATGATCCATGGATAAGTCTAGGTCACTCGACAGAGAGAGCGGCAGTGGCCTTTGGTTGCTGCTATTTTCCCACCAGGCATTTGAAAAGTGGTGGTGCAATGGAGAGAATACAGGAGGACACTGCTTCTGCAGCTCCGCCCTTGTCATCCACCTCCACCAAGTATGGTCTCCTTCATGAGGGTCTTCAAATCCCCCACCCCCTTGGCTAGAGCCCTGACTATAGTATATGATAGATAACAGAGTGAAACCTTCCTCCTCAAAACTCTGTCTCCTTATCATCTGATGAGATGCTTCCCCCAGCCACTAAATGACAAAACAGCTTGGTGTATTGCAACAATTAGGGATAAGAGAGTAACTGCCATAATTCTAAATAATCACACCAATCTAATTAGTATTAATCTTGTTGAGAACGCAACGTTATTCCCTCACATTGTTATTAGCCAATGAAAGAGCAGCAATATAACCTTTCTTTGTCATTTCCTTCAAAGGATCCTAGTCTGTTACTTTTCCCTGAAAAAATGAGGCTGAGGCTACAGATTTAAGCTCTATTCCATGCAAGTAATAATTTTATTTGCAAAGAATAAAGAAAGCAATAACATGGGTCCAATGGTTCAAGGATCATAAAATGATGTCTCTTGCCCAAAGTGACTGCATTGCATTACTTTCTGCCTTCTCATCATATCCTTTATTACCATCATGATTATAAAATATGCAGGCTTTTCAAGGAATGGAGCCTATTCTGCTTCTACAATGCAGAGCTGATGCATGCGTATACAGTACATTTCATTTGACTAAATAAATTTTGCATTCTTAAGTCATGCTTCCTCATCTTAGATGCTAGGATTACACATGTATATAGGAATGATACTGTTAGCTATAACACAGAGATAGAGCACACGGAGCCATATATATGACTACTCTTTATTACTCGGTGAGTAAATCTTGCTCACCTGGTTTCAAAATCCAGTCCTCTGTAGTTCTTTAGATAGTCATGTCCTCCACTCCACTATACCATTGTTTGATCATTTCCCAAACTATGGAAAGTTTTCCTCCCATTCGTAATGCTTAATTGCTACCACTAAATATTAAGTGCAATGTCCTGGTATTTTTGTTTCCACCACTTTTTTTTTAGCTCTGTCCATCATTGGAATGCAGCTCTCAATAAATGTCTTGAGACTAAATTGAATTGTAGGAGGTTCCACATTCTTGACCAAAATCAGAATTTGGTGCATGTATATCCACAAAGTGTGTTAACTACATTTCAGAGGAAGGCATTGAAAAGTCCACCTCTGAGTAAACTTTGTTTAAGAAATTTCTACAAAGTTTATGAGGTCACCATATGTCAACAGGAAACCTGGAGGTACATAGACACACAAAAACATACCTAACCTTAAGCTACTGAAGAACATCAAGTAGAATCACCTCTGGAAGAATATAGTAACCTACAACATGGTTCATTGTCTTTTTTTAGTGCATGTAACCTATCTAGGATCCTACATACTCAACCTACGCTGTTGAAAAGACTGGTATAAGAGATAATACATAGCTGGTGTTATGTCCAAACTTTGACATCATTAAGATGTTCTTTGCAATGTTTAGGACATTAAACCCTGTCATCAGTGATTCCAGCAACTGATATTTAATAATACTGGTGGAGAGAAACTACTGCAATCATGTTTCCATAGTGAAAACCCTTCAGCTAACAATCTTTCTCATTTGTCATTGCCTCTCAGAGAATCAATTTATTCTAACTATGGTATTCAGATATATATACCTATAAAAATACCTGGTTATAGCCAGAAATATCTAATTCTGTGGGTGGATACCCAATGGATTCAGTTAGAATCTCTTCTCGGAGGCTACAGAAGTATACCACAGAGTTCCCATAAAACAGAAGTTGACATTTCTTAGTCAGGCTCATTAGTATAAAAGTCAAAGAACATTTTATATTCCCTATTATTTCTTTCCTCTGTTGATCATTGTACTGATCATGACATTTCAGACTAAGGACTATTAACTTTTGACCAGAATCCGGCTGTGTACTTATGGTGCATCCTGCCGCTTCCACCAGAATCTGCAATCTCACCATTCTGCAGGAGCAGCAATGGGAGAGGGAAGCAAAGAAAATCCCAATGCCATTGCTTTGGATATCAAAGTGCACCCTTGGACCTTGGCATCTACAGACTTAACATGAGAATGAATGTAATGGCACAAATATAACCACCAACAATCCATGGTGGACTCGAGAATTTTAATGCTTGAAATTCTGCTCAGCTTGCCTTGTACCAGTTCCATTAAATAGCCCCCCTCTATATGGCTTATCAATAGCAACAAGTGTTACCTGATATTAATAGCTGCAATACTGCTAGATCAAAACTGAATGGTGTCCTACACTTTCCCCCTTTTAATGGTGGGGAAGCAACACATTTATAGCCATACCTCCATTAACAAAGCATCTGTTAAGGAAACATTTTTACAAAATCTTTACCAGCCGCATCCACCATTGTGTTAAGAAAATATACATTTAAGTTAGCCCACCAAAATGGAAATCATTAAGAAAAGTGGAGGCTGGTAAGAGAAAAACATATATATACTAGCTGTACCCACCACGCATTGCTTTGGCCAACCTTCCCTCTCCCTTTCTCTCCTCCTTTCTTTTTCCCTTTTTTTCTTTCATTCTCTCCTTCCTTCCTTGTCTTCCTCTTCCCTTCCTCTTTCTCTCCTTTCTTCTCTACCTATTCTTGGACTGCAACTCCCAGCAGTCCTCCTGATCAATCTATCTATCTATCTATCTATCTATCTATCTATCTATCTATCTATCTTATCTACCTGGAGATTGCTGGGAGTTGCAGTCCAGGAATAGGAAATTGTAAATATGCAGGAATTGGGATGCTCTCAAAGAAATCCACGGAGAAGAAAGCTTGCAGCTTGGAAGCAGTGCATTTGGATCATCCTCCTCTTCTAAAAGGCCAGGTCTAGGAGATACTGGGAGCTATAGTCCAGAAGAGAGTGTGGATATGCTATTGTGTGTTTTGTTTGCCAGAGGGAGTTGTTTTTGCACATGCGCTGTAACATCTTTTTGCTTTTTTTGGCTTTTTAAGTCCCCTCTGTTGTGTTTTTCAGTGTTTTCATGTGTGATGGTCACTTATTGGCCTGATAGGTGTGTTGTGTCCAAGTTTGGTGTCAATTCGTTCAGTGGTTTTTGAGTTATGTTAATCCCACAAACGAACATTACATTTTTATTTATATAATTATATCCATAGATGCATTTTGGAACAACCTTAGAAGTGGTCCCTAGATGTTTACAATGTTTTTTAGTCAGTAGCCTTTATTTCGGTCAACAAACCATCGGCTAAGTCAAGTGAAAGTAGAACGATGAAATACAACAATTAACAATTAATAACAATGTTTTTGTTTAGTTATGAAATGACCTGGTTGTTTCTTTATTTGTATGAATATTGTTAGTTTTGAATAAAAAGCTTGCTGAAGCACATCAAACCGCTCTTCTTGTTTGTGGTGCAGAAATCTATTCCTGTTTTTTTTCCAACATCCTCCTTTGCATATTCTGCCTATGTTGCAAACTTTGCTCATTTTACACTACTTCTATGATCCCTAAATGCTCTACTGCTGCAATGCAAAGCTCGGCATGCAACTGTTTGCTCTTAAGCCTGTCCAAACAGAAAGCTGGAGTTAGTTAATACAACTGGCAGCAGACAGACTACAGAATCATTGGGGTAGGAATGCCCATTGCTAAGTCCCCTTCCACACAGCTGAATAAAAGCCCACATTTTCTGCTTTGAATTGGAATATATGGCAGTGTGGACTCAGATAACCCAGTTCAAAGCAGATATTGTGGGATTTTTTTGCCTTGATGTTCTGGGTTATATGGCTGTGTGGAAGGGCCCTAAGTTATAAGGCAGCCAACCACAGGAAAAGCTTCTAGATATAGGTCATCACTATATGTGAAAATAAAACAGAAGGAGGAGATGCCATTGGCAAATGGGGTGGGAATATTTCTCAGGAGATCTCCTCTTCCAAAAAAGAAAAAGAAAAGAGGACATTTGATGGTCACATTGTTCCCAGGGGAAACAATTTATTTGAAACTGATGATAGTTTTTGTTAGAATAATTCTTATTGCTTAGCAATAGCCAGATGATCCCTTCTCTGGTTTTCTGTCACTTAACCCTCATTATTGCAAGAGTATTATTTTTCTATTATATTTTAAAGAAATGAAACTCTCGCTTCATCCCAACTGCCACTGCCCTGGCCTCGGAGGAATATAAGAAGAGACAAACACAGCTCGATCATACTTAGGCCAAGAAGCAAAGGAAAGGTTCCCTCTCCATCCCAGCTACCACTGTCCTGGCCTCAGATGGAGCAAAGAAGAAATAGACATAGTTCTATCATACTTAGACCAAGAGGTAGATGGAAGGTCCTCCCTTTATCCCAACTGCCACTGTCCTGACCGAAATAGAGAAGAGATAGAATCTCCTGAATGTAATCCCTTTCCATGCTGCAATCCTTGGGCCAGGCACTAATGGGCTCTTAGTGATGTATCCCAACATCCACTTTTCCCAGTGCAAAGCCATACAACTGACCAGCCCTATAGCTGTCATCACCACCAGTCACTTATCCCTTTAGAACAGCAGCTTTCCATTGCCTATCCTAGGCTATGGCGTTATCATGGAAAGGTGGGCAGGAGGAATCATTGGCTGCCATTCAAGGCTTTAAATGAATAGCATTGGAAAAGGCCATGGAAGGAAAACACTATCAGATTAGTTGTACCCTGCCAGGGCATGTGCACTCCTAGGAAAGTGCCTCAACATGCCAAGTACTTATGTTAGGTTCTCTGTTTGCATAAAAATGTGTATGTGGTTACTTTAGAACACAGCTACTGGAAAGCCACTAGTTCAAACCTCATCTCTGCCATCTGCTGTGTGTGAGGCTTTAGGCAAACTGATATTATTGAGTCTCAGCGCTACATCTGGAATACAAGCCTACTATAGAAGGTTGTCATAAAGCTGACTGTAACAATGTCTGCAAAGAGCTTGAAACACAGGGCCAGAAAATGGCTAAAAACTTGTCAATGTCCATATAAAAGACCAATAGACCCTTGATCTATCTTTTGGCAGAAGCTACAACAACAGATACAACCAGAAATTATTTTTAGCCAAGTGGTTCATGCGTAAGTAACATGCCCATTCCAAAACACTATGCTATTCAAAGGAAGAAAGCAGTTTCACAATATGATGCCGGATTTTAATGAATTTAGGAACCATCTACCACACTGCTTTGTGAGATCAGGGCAGAATAAGTGCTATAAACATGATGTGAAAGCCTGGTGGAAAATGCTCATTAAAAAAATACAGAAAGTGGAGGTATTTCTTGCATTATGAAATAGTGACACCACATGCATTGGTTAACCAAGCTGTCTGGTATGAAACATGATCACTTTCTGTTAAGAAGCACTGATTTCAAGATTGTTCTCAGGAATGGACAAAGTCTTACCTGCAAACATATAGCCAGGTTAACTCTGCAGCCAAACGATGTGCTGACAGCCCTGGGGTGTAGGCCTAGATCTTTAAAAAGCTTTGAAAAAGACTGTGTCAGAGCTATTCGGGGCCGTTCTTCTGCCACAACCACACACGTCCGCACTCTGGAGAGGTCCAGTCCCCTTGCCTGGAAACATAGCACAAACTTATGTTATTCCAAGGGTAGTGTTGCTAATTAGGCAGTTAATTTCAGCAATTTTTGAAGCATCTTCCCTGTGAGCAGAAAAAAAAGGTAAAGAACCAGAAACAACTTTCTAAAAAGTACAGGTAAATAAAAAAAACCAAATTGTCTATTCTTCTATCTGGAAATATCCAGCTAACAGATGTTCAAAAATGGCATACAACATATCAGGAGTTGTTGTGTACTCCTCTTCTGAGGAGGAGGTAGAACAGGAGGCTGAAGATGTAGAAGTTGGGAATTTGGGGCCAAATGTTGAGGAGGAAGAAGGTGAGGAAAACATACTGCTGGTTCCTACGTTTCAGGAATGCCAAATGGCAAAAGTAGAAAAGAGAAGATCAGTTAGAATTGCTGCAAGGACTCTGAGCAATCAGACCTCGCCCTAGGAATAGCTGTGGTGGGAGCCGAGGGCTATAAATCAAGCAGTAAAGTAAGTGGTAAATGCTGGCAGCAACCGTTCTACTTAGTGCTTCTGTAATCCGGTTTCCTTGCTTGCAGCACCAGCGTCTGCGGAGTGCCTTGCAAAGACTTTTCACCAAAGACTCTTGTTTCATGTCTGATGTAAGACTTTGCTTTGCTTTTGGGATTTTCCTCCTGTTCCTTTGCTGCTGTTTGTTACATTATTATCATTTTGCTGAAGCAAAGCTTTTTTAGTTGCTTTAACCATTGTTGTAAAGCTTTTTGTGGGGCAAAACAGGATGGGAATGTGATCTGGCAGGAGCTTCTAGATTGTAACTCCCATAATCCTTTATTATCAGATTTGCTGGTTATGATTGATGGGACTTACAGTCCAACATGTGAAGGATCACTGTTGCAATAAATTGTTAAAAACAAATATTGACATGGTTCTGAGTATGGGTTAATGATTTGTGTATGAACTTGGATGGATCTGGGGTTCATGGAGACAGCTCTCCTTCAGTTGCGGTGAGATCAAAAGCCTTTGCTTCCATTTTCAGCCAATGTAGTTTATTCCAGTGAAGGCTGGATAAGTTTGTAGTTGCTTCTAAAGGTTACTGAAAGAATCCAAATCTGAATTGTGTTTTTCTGAAGTTGTCTTATTGCTATAAAGTGTAAGTTGAGATTAACTTCAATTCAGGGTTGAGAGACAATGCTAAATTGTAGTTAACTGAATATACAAAGGAAAGCTTCTGATCTATCGCTTGTGGCTACATTGGAGAGGATTGGCAGGGAAATAGACAAGAAACACAGCAAACACATTCAGATAAACTTATAATCTGAACAAGGCCATTGGAAACACATGGAAGTGGTATAACTTATGACTAATTATTACCACGCAACAAGCGCTCCATAAAAAATTAATGAGGATGCTAAGCAGAAGGCATGAGCAATATCCCCCAAAGACTTTCTTGTATCCCAAATATGTATTTTATTAAAAACTGATGTGCCAGCATTTGCACTAGGATGCTCTGAGAAGTTTGTGGGTGGCTCCCACATGGATCTCCCACCCAGGAAGCTTTCAGGCCCTACACATTGCTTCCAGCCAAGGCATATTGGAAGAGGAAGCTTTGTGAGTGTATTTTTCTTGTTTCAGACCTTATTTTATGTACTGATAGAATTAGATGTATAGTATGTCAAAAATGCGAAAAAATAGACCTAAAACAATAGTTTAATGGTTTAACTGTTTATTTTTAATAGTTTCAATGTTTAATTTTATTTTAATGCTGGTATATTTATTTAGGTTTTAAACTATATATTGTGTTGCTTTTATTGTTACCTGCTTCGGATCTCTTTTTAAAAGATATAAAGTAGAATAGAAACAACAAGAATAATAGTGAGGCATTCTGGGAACTGTAGTTCAAACTGTGGGTATGGTAAAAAGGGGCTAGTACTAATACTCTGAAGTCCCATTTTACCTGAAAACATTGCAGACATTAGGACAAGCCATAGTATTGGATTCTGGTGCATGTAACACCTTTTCCAGAGCACGCTCCCAAACTTTCGAACAGTTAAAGCTTGTGCACCAGCTGCAACCATACCTTGAGCAACCTGACTTGGCCTCAATGGTCCATGCCTTGGTTACATCCAGACTGGATTACTGCAATGCACTCTATGTAGGGCTGCCATTGTAGATGGCCCGGAAACTACAACTTGTGCAACGATCGGCAGTCAGGCTAATTATAGAGAGCTTATGACACTTCTATTGAAGCAGCTCCACTGGCTGCAGATCAGCGGCCCTGAGTCCCTTTGGGGAAACGGTGGCAGGGTATAAGAATACATTTGTTGTTGTTGTTGGATGCAAAAAGAGTATGTTACTCATAACAACAACAACAGTTCATCTGAGGACTCACAAATATTTAGAGAAGCCCCTGTACAGCTTGCATAAATTCCTAATGGTATGTTGTAATGAAATAGTTCATGAACAACAGTAACAATGAGATAGATTTATAGGTGGATGGACAGATAGACCAAACAACCAGGCAAAGTAGTCACAGGGTACAGCTACACTGTAGAATTAATGCAGTTTGACACCATTTCCATGGCTCAATGCTATGTAATCCCAGATGTTGTAGTCTGGTGAGGCATCAACACTCTTTGGCAGAAAAACCTTGTAAAACTACAACTTCCATGATTCCAGAGCATTGAGCCTTGGTAGTAAAAATGGTATCAATCTGCATTAATTCTATAGTGTAGATGTGTTCAAGTTCTTTCCCCAAGGATGACAAATATAGTGACATACAGTCGACCAATGGCATCAAGCTGCATTAATTCTATAGTGTAGATCAGTGGTTCTCAACCTGGGGGTCCCCAGGTGTTTTGGCCTACAACTCCCAGAAATCCCAGCCAGTTTATCAGCTGTTGGGATTTCTGGGAGTTGAAGGCCAAAACATCTGGGGACCCACAGGTTGAGAACCACTGGTGTAGATGTTCCCTCAATCTTTCTCCAAGGATGACAAATCCTCAATAGGCTTTTTTATTATTCCTATATAACCTGTCATCACAACCTTGACAATGGCATGAGTCTTTCACTATTCCTGGTACACAGCCACTTAGATTAAAGTGAGTGTCCAGAGAATTGAGTCATGGCAGTTAAAGTGGTGTCAAATTGCCTTAATTCTACAGTGTAGATGGACCCACTGTGAAGTAAATATTCCTTTGCAGCCCAAGTTTGTGGAACAGCAGGTGAGAAGGTTTCTAGAAAGAGGAATCCCACAGGCACTGCTGGAGATTTCTCCCTTTTCTCAGTTTTATTTTTTTCTCACAGAATGCAGTCTTCTGACTCATACAGATGATGACATGACAACACTAAAAAGGCAATAGTATTTGTAAAGAGAAAAGTGGGGGGAAGGAGAACACACCAGACTTCCTTACCTTCAACGATTCTGTTTGGGAACCGAGGCCCTTGGTGCAAAGCTCCATCACAGAGTAAGAGCAAAAAGTGTCTCTCACTTTGTACTGACTCACAGCCAAGAGCCAGAGGGCAGGCGTGGTCTCCAGTTCTGAGGGGGGAATCAAAATAGACTGGTGTCCCGAATAAACGCTGCAAAGACACAAGAATTGTTAAAACGCAACACTCCAGGAAATCTGTCTTGCCAAAGTGAAAAAATTATGTTATTTTGCATAGCTTCAGTGATACAACACTCTACATTGCATAGGGTGGAGCCATTATGGGAGTTTTAGGATAGTGATTATTGTCTACTTGTGTACGTTTTTTTGTCTTTAATATTGATACGGTCAGTGGACTAATCAATAAACTTTGCTTTGCATACAGAGGAGCCAAAATTAACAAAATAAGTCAGTTTCTGGGCTGGTTTGGATCAATTCAGCCTTAGGATATTAACTGATCAGAGCAGGGTAGCCATATCTGTCTAAAGCAGTGGTTTCCAATCATTTTTAGGCCAGGGACCACTTTGACCAGGGACCACTCTCCAACATTAGTACCAAAAGGCAGGGCCGTAGCCAGAAAAAAAATTCGGGAGGGGTTGAAATTTGGGGGGGGTTTTGAAACCTGCCTCTTAGATCACACTGAAGCAAAGAGCACAGCCGGGGGCAGAACAGCCTTCAATAGTCTGCAGCTCCGCCCCTGTCAATCACCTCCACCAAGTCTGGCCTCCTTAATGAGAGCATTCAGCACACATACCCCACAATGACAGTAATAATAATAATAATAATAATACCATCTCCCAGAGGACTCGGAGCAGCTTACAAGAGGCCGAGCCCAAATACATCAGTAAAAACAACAACAATACAGCAAAATAACTCAAAAACAAGGCAATAACATTAACAACACACCATGACGCNAATAATAATAATAATAATAATAATCCTTTATTTGTACCCCGCTACCATCTCCCGGAGGATTCGGTGTGGCTTACAAGTGGCCGAGCCCAAATTCAACAGTAAAAACAACAACAACAATACAGCAAAATAACTCAAAAACAAGGCAATAATATTAACAACACACCATGATGCAATTAAAATCTGTGGCAGGGCCAAATGTAATAATTAAAATTAAAAAGTGCTGGGCATGACCAGGTGAAAAGGGTAGGTGTTTGGAGGGGGATGGGCATGCAGTTATCCTGGCTGGGGCTTGCCTGATGTCCTTAGGGAGAGAGTTCCAGAGTCGAGGGGCCACCACTGAGAAAGCCCTATCCCTCGTCCCCACCAATTGCACTTGCGATGCAGGTGGGATCGTGAGTAGGGCCTCTCCAGATGAACGAAGAGATCGTGTGGGTTCGTACACAGAGATGCGGTCATGCAGGTAGGCGGGTCCCAAACAGTGTGAATAAATTGTCAATATTTGCCTGAGATAGTGCTTGCAGTTCTGGAGGGACTCTTAATTTTTTGCATCTCATAGACTTAGCATGGGGATTTAGTTAACCAGTTAAAATTCATGAGTAAACCAGGTTTTTTTAAAAAAATCTGAAACATTTCGGGGGGGGGGGGGTTGAACCCCTAACCCCCCCCCCTCGCTACAGGCCTGCCAAAAGGGTTATGAATCGGTTTTTGGTCACCTTTAGATTCAGTTTGGTTATTTGGGGTGCTGATTCAGAAAATTGCATTGGAAGACCACAAGCTCTAGTTTCTGATACAGAACATATGCCATCCAGTAGTCACCATCTGCTTGCCACAGAAAACCATATTTAATAATCTAGAGCTGATATGGTAGTAGTAATCCTTTATGGGTTTCTCCTCCTGACATCCCCGTTGCCTCGGCACTATAAGAGGGTTTCGTGAGACCAGTTACTTTCGTTGCCACATTGTTTGGAGGCAGGGGTGTAGTAATGGTGAGGCCGTGGACCTTATTTTCGTTCTTGGGGACACTGGTGGTCCATGGACCACAGATTGGGAACCACTGGTCTAAAGAAAGTGGGATGTTTTCAATTGTGGTAGGAGGGTGAACAGAGCTTCGAGGTGTTATTTGTTTGTTCGTTCTCCAATTTCCAGAATCTAGTTTTTATACTGGAATTAATTGGGTAAAAGAAGAGCTATAAAAAAATATGGGAGAGAGGCACATCACAATGAATTCCAGCATTCCTTGTTTAGCACAAACAGCTAAAAGCACTGAGATTGGCCTGATGACTGTTGCTGTGTCCGGAATGCACCAATCTTTGACACAGATTCCCGGGAAATCCTGCTGGAGTGTGTGCCCAATCAATATGAATGTGGGAGAATCTTTGATAGAGAGGTGTATTGCTCAGCTTTGCAATGTTTATATTAATTACTAGCCATCCCCTGCCACGCATTGCTGTGGTCCAGTCTGTGTATATGTGTTTTGTGTGTGTATATATTTGTGTATATGTGTATATATGTGTGTTTGTGTATATATGTGGTTTTGCACATGTGTTGTAATGTAATTTTTTTGGCTTTTTAAGTCTCTTCTGCAGTATTTTTCAGTGTATTTATGAGTGATGGTCACTCGTTGGCCTGATAGGTGTCGTGTGTCCAAATTTGGTGTCAATTCACCCAGTGGTTTTTGAGTTATGCTAATTTCACAAACAAACATATTTTTATTTATATAGATTATGTTATACCCTTTGGGACCTAAAATAAAAACAAAAGCAAAGTTTTGCAAAAACAATGCAATATGCTCAAGACGTATTAAATTGTTGTCTCTATGCTGCATGGAGGCTTTCCTTTGTGGTTTGGAAGTCTCCAAATGTTGCATTCTGGGACATCACAAGAGCGCAGACCAGAAAAACTTCACAGCATCCTCAATACAGATAAATGTTTATTTTTTGGAAAAAAAAATGGCTGTTTATGCTCAGATTGCAACTCCTTGATATAAGGGATTCAAGCACTTTTCACTTTGCTGTAGCAACAGTTGATGTCAATGGTTCTAAATATGGATAGTGTGTTCTTGCTATGATTCCCCTTACCAGTTTAAATTTACTTAAGATTTATTTTTATGACTAAAAGGTTTATCATAGGTTCGAAAGAGCTAGGAAGAGGTAAGTGGGTGGTGCAAAGAACTTACGGAATAGATAACCTATTTATATCTTCTTTGCGTATAGGTGTTGTAGTAAAATTACAGCTTGTTATATTGAATGGGTAGAACAATATGGAACTAAGCGTTCCCTTTCATACACTGACAAATCCGAGATTATAAACAAGAGCAAACCGTTAACACACCTTGCATTTTCTGTGTGTAGAAAGTTGGGGAGAATGTTTCCTCCCTAAACCGCCTCGTTCCACAACAAGGAAACTTTTGTTGCAGCTCTCACAGCAGTGAGGAAGTACCGAGACAAAGCATGCCTGGTTAACTCTGCATTGGTTGACTGAGGCATACACAGGCGCATGATAGAGAGGGGAAAGGATTAGCACCTTCTCATGCCTGGACCTGTTTTTTTAATAAGTTCTAGTTTGTGGTTTGCACTGTTATTTTAAATATAAGCAGTGCGTTTAAGAAGAAGCAAAACTTCACACACTGAAAATAACTAGATGAATTTGCTTAAAGTGATAAGTTGACTTGAGTTTACAAGTCAAATTTTAGATCCCCAAATTTCCCAGAGTAATCAGGAGAGTTTGTAAAAAAATCTTTTCATAAAAGGTCTTTTTGTGAACCTTGAAATAATTTCCAACTTATGGTGACCCCATCACAGGCTTTTCTGGGTTTCCGTGGCTAAGCCAGGAAGACCCCCAAAGGGACACTTACCTACAGAGGCACCAAAGGACAAACCCAAGTCCACAGTAAGGGTCCAAACAGATAGCAACTTCTCTAGAAGGATAAAGCTCACACTGCAGCTTAATAGAACGACAGAAGGCACTAGTGGCGGAATGAGACATCTGGAAGAAGATAAGATGGCAGTCATTAAGATGATGAACCGTAGCATTCGGCAGGTTTGTTTCTGAGTGGCTGCCAGGTCTTCAGTCAGTAAGAGGATGGGTAAAAATAAGCATCCCCTTTACAAGCCCCCTGCAAAAACACAGACAGAATCATTTATGCAGAATGACGATTGTATGTTTTCCAAGGCCTAGATTCAGTCACCCAAGTTTAAAAAACGGAAGAGCAGAGAGGGAATGACTCATCAGTGTCTTTGATTTCTAGGTTATGATAATTAGAAATTAAATACCACTCTAAAGAGAACAGGATACTTCTTTTAAATGGGAGCAGGGGGAAAGTCAGAAGAGTAATAGCCATAACTTAGTGCTAGAGTTCAATCCTAAGCTGCCCTTGGGGAACCCCCTTTAGCCATTCCTTCTGATAGTCCCTATCAATGGAACTCAAGCCATCCTGAGTTCTGTTGATTTACTCTGTTTTGGGAGGAAAGGCTCAGTCAAGTAAGAACACAGAAAAGCATCATAAGCATCGGATGAGAGGGGTAACAGCAACTTTTCTGAGTTTGTAGTCCAATGTCCTTAGGCCCAACTTTCATCACCTTTAGTCATTGGCCACATTGTTTGGGGAGGATCACTCTCAATAGTCCTAAACCCTTTGAGATCCAGAGGTTGAAATGTTGAGGCTAGACTTCTTTGTAGTGGGAATTTTGTAGTGTTGCAATCTGTTTGATGCAGTATGAAATAAATACAGATTCACACGTCGGCAGTACTTTGAACAACCCAGTACTTTGAACTACTTCTTGAATTACATTCTCCAGATCAGAGCCAGAAAAAGAAGACTGTTTTGAGCTACAATTCCCACAATCTCCAAGCGGAATAGAACCAAAAGCTGTGTTGGGTAGGGATTCTAAGATTTCTAGTCCATTCCCCCTAGATATATGAAAGGATATATGATGAATTAAACTGTGTGGGATATGTTATTCATGTATAAATTCAGAATGGGATGAAATATTTTTATTATTAATTATTTATTATTATTTATTATTATTATTATTATTATTATTATTATTATTATTATATACTTTATTTTTCACTATGAAATTGAGTTTTTGGACTGGATCTCGTCACCCATAGCCAGCACAGGATGGGAGTGTAGTGTTTTCCATCCTAGGTTGCCAACCATTACATCTACTATATCAGGCCAATAGGAATTGTAGTCCAAGAACTTCTGGATGGTCATAATTTCCCTATCTCTTTGGCATTGCAATATTCCACTCAGCCTCAGTCCATATCATCACATTTCCCAAGGCTTCATTCAGTCTGAGATTCCTACCTTCACCCCTGCTAGCATTCCAGTTGTGGATACACTGAAATCGAGATAAGCCAGCATGTCAGGGTTAGACGGTTTGTAGATCTGAGGAGGCCGCTTCTTTGGCAAATCATCTGGGGGAAAAACCCAGAAAGGCATGATTCCTGCAGTGCCTGCAAGATGCAACAGTACTTCAAAACGAGACGAAGGGAGGAGAGCAAGTACCTGTGTCTAATATAGGAGGCCACGTTCTGACATCCACAGCTGCTGCCGCTTCTCGTGATCGTAACAATTTACATATTAATTGTGTTGTCATTAAACAGGCAGACCGACTCACCTGAAAGTTTCAGGGGAAAACAGAGAGAGAAGACAGAAATGAGACAGACACTACTTAACAAGCGCAATGTTTATCCAATACAAGAGTATAAAGCTTAATATTTACTTTTAAAATATTTCTTCAAATTAAAAACATTGAGAAATTATTTGGAAATTATGAAAACACGCATTCTCTACTCCACATCTCTCAGATTCTGCTAATTTTGGGATAATATATTTTCCATTCTGGGCTCAGTTTACAGTGGTTCTCAACCTGTGGGTCCCCAGATGTTTTGACCTTCAACTCCCAGAAATCATAACAGCTGGTAAACTGGCTGGGATTTCTGGGAATTGTAGGCCAAAACACCTGGGGACCCACAGGTTGTGAAATACCGAGTTAAAATAACAATGCAACTAGCCCCATATGTATCAAGGCATATATATTAAGGCTTATTTCAGTTATTACATTTTTACCTGGCCTTTCAGACTACAAAGGCAATACATAAGGTAACACATGACCAAAATTATTTTCACAACAAAGCTGTGAGATACATTAGGCTGAGGAAACATTGGCACAGGATTACTATAAGGAAAAGAGAAGCCCAGCCAAAGGCATTCGTGCTGTATATTATTATTATTATTATTATTATTATTATTATTATTATTATTATTTTATTGACACAAAAAACAATATGGCACAGCAAATGAGATAAATATGCTGGATGATATTATATTATTATTAATTATTAATTATTAATTATTAATTATTATTAGGTAACTTTTGTTTGTTCTAATACCTTAACTCTAAACTGACTAAAAACGGATATATGCCATTGTACATAATACAAATGTCTGGGTAAGGATATGAATCAAATTAACTTTGGTGATGATCAGCCATCCCTTTAGTTCAGGCTATATCTGATAATTGGAAACAGAACTGGGGAAAATTAACTTTTAAGAAAATCAATTCCCAGAATCCTCTGGTCAGAACAGCCCATGCCTGGAGGACCAATTTCTTTTTCTAACGTTTCCAATTTCTATTGGGGAGAAGCTTTCTCTTTTCTTCTTCTTCCCCATCATAAACTGCTTTTGAAACTAAAAGGCTGTTCAAAAGTATTTTTCGACAAGGAAAAGCATGGGGATATGTGATGGTTCAAAGGGAAGGGAAGTTTGACAAAGTCATCAAGATATGCCCAAGCTCTTGGAACCCTGCCATTGGATTCCTTCTCTTAATTAACCACTCTCATTAGCCAGCTGACCTCCACAATCATCTTCACTGTGGGCAACGTTGTCGCAATGTTCTGCGGATGTGGAGGACGAACCGTGATCGGCACGCAGCCTGCGTATAAGCACCCGTAAAACGCAGCAATCAAATCTATCCCTGCATGAAGAAGAAGAACAAGAACACAAAATGATGTTCTAGCTTGAAAGAGAAAGAAAACCACCTGGAGTCAACATAAGTTATGAAGATATCGATAGCATGGAGTACAGCACAATCAGCGGCATCATGTGGCTCCTATATTGTGGGACAGTGAATTCGGTCCGGGTTTTAATCCAAACTTTAGAAAAGCTACTCAAGATTCCAAACCCTATGTGTCCAAAATATCTCATCACTTTGAATAGCTCCATTAAAGTTCAGAGTAAAGTCCATCACCCCTTTAATGTGGAAGCCACCAGTCACCCATTGGCTTTGTTGAAACAGCTTTAACAAAGTTAAATAAGCAATGTGAACCTTAAACGAAGTGCTCTTTCTCTTTCTTCTAATGATTCTTAAGCTTCACCAGTTGTTCTAACATGAGATGCTTTCAACAGACATGAGGTGCACCTACACCAGGTATGGGCAAACCCAGGTCCGAGGGCTCTTTTCTCAGGCCCTCCTCTCTCTCACCATCCCATCCTTCCTTCCTTCTCTCTTTCCTTCCTCCTTCCATCCTTTCTTCCTTCTCTCCTTCCTTTTCCTTCCCTCCTTTCCACCCTTTCATCCTTCCTTCCCTCTCTCCCTCTTTTTCCTTTTTCCCCTTTTGTCCTTCTTTCTTTCTCTCTTTCCTCCCTCCCTCTCTTTATTCTTTTCTTCCTTCTCTTTCTCCTTCTTCCTTTCCTCCTGGGGAATGTTTAGCTGGGAGAAGAGAAGCTAGAGAGGGAACCTGAGAACCATTTTTCAAGATTTTAAAGGGTGTCTCATTAAGGAGGAGGGGAAAAACTGACTTTCTGCCGCTCTAGAGACCAGGTCATAAGGGAGCAATGGTTTCAAATGGCAGAGAAAGAGATTTGACTGACAAGATTACGAAGAACTTCCTAGAGAATGACATAGGCGACCTCGGAGTGTGGTGGAGTCTCTTTCTCTGGAGGCTTTTCCACAGAGGCTATCTATTGGGAGTGCTTTGGTTGTGCCTTCTTGCATGGCAGCGGTTGGACTGGATTACCCTTGGAGGTCTCTTTTGATTCTAGGATTCTATATCAGGGGTAGACAATACTGGGTCTAATGGAAACACTTTTTTTTCTCCCATCTACCATCAAATCCCTCCCTCCCAGTCTGCCCACCCTATTCCGGTCCACCATGTGGCCCCCAAGTTAGAAAGTTTGCCCATGCCTGACCTACACTGTACAATGAGTGCAGTGTGACACCACTTTAGCTGTGCCGACAGGACTGAAGACCGACAGGTCACAGGTTCGAATCCGGGGAGAGCGCGGATGAGCTCCCTCTGTCAGCTCCAGCTCCTCATGTGGGGACATGAGAGAAGCCTCCCACAAGGATGGTAAAAACATCCGGGTGTCCTCTGGGCAACGTCCTTGCAGACAGCCAATTCTCTCACACCAGAAGCGACTTGCAGTTTCTCAAGTCGCTCCTGACACAACAAAAAAAGCTGTCATAATTCAATACTATGGAATTATAGAAGTTGTAGCTTAGAGAAGCACCAGCACTCTTTAGCACAGAAAGCTAAAGACCTTGTTAACTACTATTCCCAGGAGTAGTACCTAGTTGGCAATGACATTTATATGCATTTTTCTTTGTGGCTTGCTATTACATCCCAGTGTATAGATGCTTTTAACTGTTGTTCCTCCCTCCTGCTTAGGAATTTGGCTCAATTTCTTCTATTTACTTTGAGTGTTCCATTATTTTTAATGCTTTCCTACTGAATCTTACATATTGTTCCTCCCAACCATTTTAACATATGCTATCCTCAGGGTTTCGCAGTGAGCATTAGAAAAGAAATCTTCTACACGGATAAAAATAATGACCCCGATAAAATAAAAGCCTTGAACTAGTGTTGGTTAATACACTATGCATTGAAAAACATATTTAAAGGTAAAATACACTGCAATGCACAGCCCTCCACTTGGTTTTAAATGGTTTAACATTCAAAAACCTCTTAATTAAACTACAAAAACCTTTAGAAACCAAAGCATGTACACATTGACAGATATTTGAGGGTCAATGCTGCAGACAAAAAAGTATATTGAAATAATTGTAATGCTTCAGGAAAATAAACCTTGTGTGTATGTATTTTGTAACAGTTATCAGTGGAAGATTGACAATGGGTTTTTAAAAAGCTGCAATCTGAAACTCCTTCACCTGGTAGTATGCACCACTGAATTCAATGCGTATCTACTTCTGAGTATGTATCTACTTCTGAGTAGATACGTATAGCAGACTTTGCCAACCTTGGTGACCCTCAGATCTGTTGAACCACCACTTCCATAATCAGATAGCTATGTTGTTGTTATGTTGTAGAGTTTCAACGTGTCTGTAAGACACCATGTTGGCAAAGGCTATAAGATTGTACCAGTTAAGATTCAGTCATCAGTCTAAATTCAGTTGTTGGTCTGAATTAGAGCAAACCCAATAAATCAACTGTTGAATTGTTGATAACACTTCCATAATTTCCATTCATTTTGGTTGGGACCAACACTTGGAATCAGGCTATAGTTGAATGCCTTAATTTTACTTCCATGTGATCCATTTTATGTCATTGGAAAAAGGCTCTCTTATATTGGAGATAGTTCAGGAATAAATCCAGCTCCCTCATTCCTCAAGATTGCTATGTAACAGAATAGTTCCTATCATAGTGCTTTCTGGATATGTCAAGAAACATGATATTGCACCTTCAGTTTAGGCTAAAATTATTGAAATTAACAGGTACAACTGAAAGAAAGACCAAGTCCTATACAAAGGAATTGAAAAGTAGAACATGGCTATGCTACCCTTTACAAAATAAAGATATTAATTGCTTTCCAGCCATTATGATTTTAGTGACTATTTTTGCAGCTCTGTCAACTAGCTGAAGGTCAGCTTACAATATCAAAGTCTTTAGAGTTACAAATGAAAACGTATGTTTGCTCTTTACCTGGTGGGTAGACTAAAGCAACGTGATCGCCGTCTTGTAAATGTCCCCGTTCCATCAACATAACTGCTATCTTTTCAGCTCGTTTATGTAGCTGAACACACGTTAGAGAATTTGCTATTGTCCCCTGTATGTGGGAGGAAGAAAACAAAGATATAACAGTTTTTAATGTACAGATTTCTATTCTCAAATGATATCCCAGCTCATTTTAAAATGGGTCAATGATATACATGTGAAATATAACAAATCATTTTCAAAAGTTTGCTCTGTGTGTGTGTGTGTGTGTGTGTAGAGAGAGAATCAGAGTTAGTGATGAACATTAGAAGGTCAAAAAGGTGACCTTTTAATGGTGGTTGCTTCTTCCCAGGCCCTTTACATTCGTTCTGCACAACTGTTTAATTCCTTTTCTCTCCCTCTACATCAGTGCCTCCAGGAGAAAGGAAAGCATTGATAGGGACCTCATAAACCATCTAGTTCAATCCCTAGCCACGCAGGAATACTTAGCTAAAGTAGTCCTGAAAGATACCTATCCAAACTCTATTTAAAGACTTTCAAAGATGGAGAGTCCAGTCCATCCTTCAATCAATTCCACTGTCAAACTATGTTTACGTGGAATCTCTTTTCTTGTAATTTGAATCCAATAGTTTGTGTTCTGATCTCTGGGGTAGCAGAAAACAAGCTTGCTAATTAATATGTATCCATTGATTGTACAGCTATATCCTTGGGGTTAATATGAGGATTCCTTCCATTACTTTGTGGAACATCCATCTAATCTTAATAAGTCATCCATCAGTTTAGTTTCTAATGGTTGAAAACTGAGGAACCTTTTCCGCCACATCCCTCTTCCCTTTCTTAACTAAAGTCATTTGACAGGAGTTGACAGGAAAAGCTCCTTGTGGGTATTTAGTAGACTATGTACATAGACACACCCAAGTGGTTCTGTTCAGGGACTCCAAATACTATGGCAGCCTTAGAAACAATGATCCAATGAAGTTATTTTCCACATGATTCCAGGCAAACTCAGATGGTGTCACACACAAATGGCAGGAGGCTCTAGAGAAGACTTGCACAACCTGCAGCTCTCTAGATGTTTGGGCTTCCAACCCACAGAAGACCTAGTCAGCTTGTCCAATGGCTACAAATTCTAGAAGTCCAAAACACCTGGAGGGTCACAGCTTGTGCAAGCTTGATCTAGAGCAGTGGTTCTCAACCTGGGGTCCCCAGATGTTTTTGGCCTACAACTCCCAGAAATCCCAGACAGTTTACCAGCTGTTAGGACTTCTGGGAGTTGAAGGCAAAAAACATCTGGGGACCCCAGGTTGAGAACCACTGATCTAGAGCTTAATGGAGTCTACTATTGGGAGCTTTCTTCATTGCCAGCTTTATTTCAGTATGTGTGTGTGCGTGTGTGAACTGAGACAACAGATCTCTTCCAATCACTCATTGGAATCACCACACTATCAACACTGCTTTCTCTTTTAGCAACTCAGTAGTTCAATGCCTGCACAGCAACAGCAATATTGAAAAAATGAAAAAGTCTATCTAAAAGGGATGTTCCTGGAAGTTTCTCTGTTCACTAACTTACAACACTGGAATGAAGCCAGCTGGCAAAGGAATTGCTTGAGGAGAGAGTTGAAAGACTGAATGAGGACAAAAGAAGAGCTTGTATTATGGAAAACAGCTCGCTTACCCAATCTTATTAAAGACAATGTGGGGCATAATGGGTGTGCCATGAAATAACTGGTAGCAATGCAATTTTAAATAATGGAGGGACTTCCAGAAGCCCAAATTATCCACATGCAAAGTATTGTTATTGGTAAACATGTTCTTAGGCTATTGCTACAACCCAGAGGCTATGAAGCACATGATAATATCAGAGTGAACAAACACTGCCAAACTTTCCTAGCCAAAGAAAGTGCATCATTACCAAGACTTTTCTCTTTCAAGGAGCAGGATCTTTAAAATAAACACACATTCATGCTCATGTGTTTTAATTTGTGTTGTTTTCAATAATGTGTAAACCATCTGCAGTCTCAGTTTTGGGGAAAAGGGATAATATATACATTTGATTTAGGTTTTTTACAATGAAAACCGGAAGTTATCTATGTATGGCCCAAAACCAACATTCTTTGCGGCCATATGCCCTAAAACAGTGGTTCTCAACCTTCCTAATGCCATGACCCCTTGACATGTTGTGGTGACCACCAACCATAAAAATTATTTTTGTTGCTACTTCTTAACTGTAATTTTGCTACTGTTATTAATTGTAATGTAAATATCTGGTATGCATGATGTATTTTCATTCACTGGACTAAATTTGGCACAAATGCCCAAATATGAATACTGGTGAGGTTGGGAGGGGGTTGATTTTGTCATTTGGGAGTTGTAGTTCCTGGGATTTATAGTTAACCTAGAATCAAAGAGCATTCTGAAATCCACCAATGATGGAATTGAACCAAATTTGGCACACAGAACTCCCATGGCTAAGAGAAAATACTGGAAGGGTTTGGTGGGCATTGACCTTGAGTTTTGGACTTGTAGTTCACCTACATCCAGAGAGCACTGTGGATTCAAACAATAATGGATCTGGACCAAACATGGCACATTTATATTTATTTATTTATTGTGTCGGGAGCAAACCAAACAGTTGTATTGTATTTAAAAACACACACACAAATTTTGCAAACTTGGCATTCTATTAAATGTCCTTTGACCAGTAGCTGGCCACTCAGAGTGCCTCTGGTTTGCTCTTCTCCACACTCACAGAGATGCACTCCACGAGATGCAGAGCCAAGCTTAAGAAATGGGGCTACAAAGTGGAATCCACAATATGCAAGTGTGGAGAAAAAAAAATCTGGCATGAATACTCAATACACCCTGGTGAAGTTTGGGGAAAATACACCTTAACATTTGGGAGTTGTAGTTGCTGGGATTTATAGTTCACCTACAATCCTGAAGCCAGCCCACCAAATTTGGCACACTGCCTACATGGCCAACATCAAATATTGGTTGTTTTTGAATTCTGGGAGTTGTAGTTCACCAGCATCAAAAAGGAAGAGAAGGACAAGCAGAGAGATCTTCAGCCTTCTCTTCCAAAAGGGTTCCTAAGACCATCAGAAGTATGTGTTTTCTGATGGTATTTGGTGACTAAAATGATTAGTAAATGGTATAGAGGACATTCCCGGTAGCTTTGTACTCTTTTGAGCACCACCTTCAGAAGTCGGAAATGAAAAGGCGAAACCTCTGCCTTTGTTTGTGTACCTCATTATATATAATCGTAAAATGCATTGAATGTTTGCCTATATATATAAAATACTGTAATGCGCTCTGAGTCCCCTAGGGGAGAAGGGTGGAATATTATATAGAGTGTATTATTATTGCTGTTGTTGTTGTTGTTGTTGAACTCCCAGAAGCCAAACTTTTTTTCAAAACATTTTGCCTCCAAATGTTCTCTAAGGAGTGAAGAAGTCCCCAAATACACAAAAATATGCCTCCATGTCCTCTAGAAGGTGCATCATCATCATTGTTGGTGGGAGCACATCCAATAGAGTAGTGGTTTTCAACCTGGGCTCCCCAGATGTTTTTGGCCTACAACTCCCAGAAAGCCAGTTTACCAGCTGTTAGGATTTCTGGGAGTTGAAGGCCAAAAACATCTGGGGACCCCAGTTTGAGAACCACTGCAATAGAGGCAGTCCCGTAGCCAGGATTTCGTTTTTTTTGGGGGGGGGGAATTTTTTTTAGGGGGGGTTTCGGGGGGGGGGGGGGGGCTGAGTCTAAGTGAAAGAGGGTCTACCCCTAGCAAACCTTTTGTATCATTACCCCAATACCCCCATGCATATGGGATATATTGAGTATGGTGATCAGATCATGATATGAATAAACATAACAGTTTAAATAATGCACCAGTAAGGCCTTTTCGCGAACCACCATGAGAATTTTGGGGGGAGGGGGGGCTGAAGCCCCTCAAGCCCCCCCTCCCCCCGGCTACATGCCTGAATAGAGGGTGAACCTCAAGTCTCTTGGAGGATGAAGGTGCTGCTCAAGTCTTCTGCAGTTGCCCACCCCTATTGTAAGCAGAAGAAAGGACAAAAGGACACCTCTATAACCCAAATAAACTCCGCATAGTCTTACCCTACAATTTAGTAATGTGTAAAGCACATGATCAGGAGTTGTTTGCGCCCTCCATTGTAAGACTTCTGAGAGAAACAGGAACTGGAAAGGAAGGAATGGATAACAATAAGGTTAGACACACAATACTATACACATCACTTTTAGCACTTTTGAAATGAAAACCTATGAACATCTATTCAGAAGTATTATCTGTTGATAATTGAGTTTAATGGGGCTTACTTCTATGTAAGTAGATCAAGGATTACTGATAGAGAGCTGCCCCTTTCTACTCAACACTGCTGCCTTTTTTATACACCCATATATTGAACCATGGTAGACTTTGAGAATAGAAAGATGAAAAGGCTGCATATAAATATTTAATAATCTATAAAATAAAAATAAATTGCTGTCATCTATTTTATTCATCTATTAAAAGGTAAAGGTATAGGTTTTCCCCTGATATTAAGTCTAGTCATGTCGGACTCTGGGAGGTGGTGCTCATCTTCATTTCTAAGCCAAAGAGCTGGCGTTGTCCTTAGATGCCTCCAAGGTCATGTGGCCAGCATGACTGAATGGAGTGCTGTTACCTTCCTTCAGAAGCAGTACCTATTGATCTACTCACATTCGCATGTTTTTGAAATGCTAGGTTGGCAGAAGCTGGGGCTAACAAACTTTTGGTCAGCAACTTCAGCATTAGCTCAGCAGTTTAATATTTGCTTTGATACCAGGGGGCCTCTATTAAAAGACCAAAGCCTTTTAACTAAGTGTGCATGGATGGGAGAGAAGAGTAACACACACACTCAAATTCTGTTCAAATGAAATTCACATTTCTAGGAATTATCAGGTCAATTTTAAAATGAAGTACTTTCTGTAACACACATATATTAGAGGTCTCTCATTCATAGGGTAACCATCAATCAAAGCTGACGTGATCGCACATAACAACAACAGCATCAAGACAAAACAAGTTAAACAGAATTCTGAATTATAAGAAAAAATGAACATTTGTATCAAGTCTGTATTTGCCACATTTCATCAAACAGTTTCTATGTTCATGAAATTGCTACAAATGCAGTGGATGTAGGAAATGTGTAAGACACTCAAAAATGTCATGGTACTAGATTTTGCCATCACAAAACCTTTGCACACTACTAGCTGTATCCTGCGCATAGTGTATCATACCCATACAGCCTAAGTCAATATATGATGCATCCAAGTTTTGTTTTAGTAAAGGGTGTTCGTATACATGGAATTGCTAAGTAGACTCTCTGCAAGGTGATGGCTATACTCTAAGCCAGTGGTTCTCAACCTGTGGGTCCCCAGGTGTTTTGGCCTACAACTCCCAGAAATCCCAGCCAGTTTACCAACTGTTGAGATTTCTGGGAGTTGAAGGCCAAAACATCTGGGGACCCAAAGGTTGAGAATCATTGCCCTAAGCTGATTACCTATAGCAAGCTTGATGCTTTCCATACCTTCTGACCATATTCTGAAATTGCAAAAGCAAGATGTTTTTCATCTACCAACAATTTTAAAACCATTACATAGCACAAAATGTGCTTTTCAGTAAGAATATTCTGAAGCAGTGCTCTTAAGGTGGGAAATAGCATATCTTCAATGTGATCCTAAATAGACTTAAATAGAACTACATTCCACTAAGTTCAATGGAACTTTGCTTTCAGAATATATTTAGAATCTGCTTTTCCGTCTTAGGAAACACAACGTTTCTAATCGTTCTGGAGGTGAAACGGAAGCCGGTTTTACTCTTGCTCTGATTGCGCCCACACATTTCCAGCAGATGTCACAAATCACCAAAAGGCAATTATGCTATTTTTGAAACCTCACACAGTAGACATGGAAGGCTTGCCACTTTACCTTTCTGGCTTGATCGTTATCTTCTATTTGTCCCAAATCTCTGCCACTTGCCTGAGCAATTCTTTTTCCAGAGACCAGATTCCCCACCATCACAGAGGCAGGGCCAATTTCTATAATATAGATGGGAAATATTAATGCCAGAGTGCATAAGTTATAAAAAGAAGGGAAAAAATAACTTTCATCAATTTGCTGCAAATGTACCATTTGAGATGCAAATACAGCAAGATGTATTATTTGAGATGCATACGACAAAACAGAAGTGTTTGGTTTCTAGAGGTCAATGGGCTGATTCCTTTTGATGCTGTTTTTGATTACACCTTTCCACATTACAAGCAAGGGAATTGCATCCACTTGCCACATTAGTCAGCTCCTATTATGCAGCATGACTCTTCATGAAAAGGAACAGAGGTGATTGCATCTATGAATCCACCAAGGGACATAATGCCTGAGAACCTTTCTACTAATGCTCACTAATGAGGCCATCCATGGCAAAAATGGGCACTAGCAATGACTGAGTCACGACTCACTGAAACTGACTCACAAGTCTAGTACTGCATATATATTACCTGGAAGGCACTTTCACAGTTGTGCCATTTAAGCTGGCCAGGTGGCACCAAGAAGTCTGGAACTGGGCAATGCCATAATGTATAAACAGACCTGTTTCCCACTCTAAGGAATTCTGAAGCCTGTCTCCTGACGGTAGAGGAAAGTTACAGAAGCTTGTTTTTCTAAGCGACAACAAGAGGGAAGGAAATGTCACCGACCAATGGGAATTTATCTCCAGTTATATCCATCTAATCTCCTCTAATTGTTCGGGAATAAGGGAGATTAAGTGAGTCAGGGTAACTTGAGATAACAGAAAGGCCAGCAATCATTTCCTTCTTTGTTATTAGACATGTTTTTTCAGATCTCAACTGCTGGAAGACTGGGGGGAAAGCCCACAGAATTCCTAGCCTGTATAACCTAACCGTTCTTTTGTAGCAGATTCATAAAAGAGCACCACTGAATTGTACTCCCACTTCTTGAAAGTGAACCCCTTCTTGTCTATTATCACTGCAGAACACAGATATTCCGGTGACAGGCTAGAATGGTAAGAAACAGAGGGTGAAAACAGAAAATGCATAATACCTGGCTGTTTTTGTCTTGGTTTGGGCAGATTTGTTACACAGGTGTGTGGACACATCAACACATTACAAGGATGCAATGCTCCTTCCAGGAAAAGCTGTTTAGTTTCTGATAAGTGGATTCCACCGAGAGGGGTCTTTGGGAGTGTGTTTGCTGGGACCAGGGCTAAACAATAAACACCCACTTGATGGATACTGTCGATAGCCTAGAAACATTAAACAAAAAAAGTGCAAGTCAGTGCAACATTTGGGGAAAAGAGAGTTCATAAGAGACCAGTCACAATTAAACTATCCAGTGTCAAATCATTTTTTGATGTGGATCACTAGCCACAACTGTTTACATGTGCCTATAGTTCACTTGACTGCAGAAAAGGTATGATGAAATACTTTTTTTTAATTTTGAGAGACAAGTAGAAAGTTTTGTTGTTGTTGTTTATTCGTTCAGTTGCTTCCAATGCTTCGTGATTTCATGGACCAGCCCACGCAAGAGCTCCCTGTCAGCCGTGGCCACCCACAGCTCCTTCAAGGTCAAGCCAGTCACTTCAAGGATACCATCCATTCATCTTGCCCTTGGTCTGCCCCTCTTCCTTTTCCCCTCCATTTTCCCCAGCATTGTCTTTTCCAAGCTTTACTGTCTTCTCATTATGTGCCCAAAGTACTTCATCTTTCCCTCCAGTGAGCAGTCAGGGTTTCTTTCTTGGAGTATGGACTGGCTTGATCTTCTCGCTGTCCGAGGCACTCTCAGAACTTTCCTCCAACACCACAATTCAAAAGCGTGTATCTTCTTTCACTCAGCCTTCCTTATGGTCCAGCTCTTACATCCGTAGGTTGCTACAGGGTATACCATTGCTTTAACTATTCGCATCTTTGTTGCCAGTGTGATGTCTCTACTATTCATTATTTTATTGAGATTGGTCATTGCTCTACGCCCAAGAAGGGAACGTTTTCTGATTTCCTGGCTGCAGTCTGCATCTTCAGTAATCTTTGTGCTTAGAAATACAAAGTCTGTCACTGCCTCCACGTTTTCTCCCTTTATTTCCCAGTTATCAATCAGTCTGGTTGCCATAATCTTGGCAGGAAGTAAAAGTCAGTAAAGGCTACTCTGAAGGTCAAAGGCATGCAAATGGGCATCTAAAGTGAGCAACTAGATGTCAGATTTGCTTCATAGGAAGAAAAATACGTTAAACTGAAACATGCCATTCCTTTATTTACTGTGCATAATTCCTACATGTTGTAAACAATGAACAACTTGACCTATGACAAGGCTAACCTTGGTTAACATACTCTTGTACACTGGAGTAGAAGCAGAATAACTGCAAGCATTTCCAGGAAATAGGTGGCCTCTCTGGCCACAAGGACTTTCAATGTCATCCTTCTGGTTGCAATTTAAGTGATCTTACCTGCAGAACTCTGCTCATCCACTGAAAGCTGTCTTCCTCTGTAGAGTCTGGCCTTTGTTCAGCAACAATTACTATCCTCTCATCATGAAGGACACTCACGGAAAACACGGCTATTCTGTAACAGGGTAGGAAAATATAAAAACCGGTTAACCGGAAAAGAATATCAAGTGGAGGAAAAGTGTATTTCATTATTCTCTGGGAATAAGCACTCATAAGTTATGCAACAAAGGAGGCTGACGATTCAGTTCTTATTTCTTCGAGAAAATGACAGTTGCATTGAACACCTACACACGTTTAAAATAGAGCACCATCGGATTTGGAAAACAGCTCTTATAAAAGCAGGCTTGTTTCAGCTCTCCAAAGAGTAGCACACAATCATTGCAGAATATGAGTTCACTCTATATGCAATCAGTATTTACTAAGAAAAGAGCTCAAAGTTATATAATAGCAAAATGTCAATGCTCTCCTGGGTTTTATTTAGACTAAGGGAAACATGAAGTTTTTTTTATCTCCATTTGTAGTATCCCAATGATGACGCACTCTCAAAGAGGTTCATCTGGTCCTTAATTTGAGATTATTTCAGCAATACAAGTGCCTTTTCTTGAATCTCCCCCTTGGTTTTTTAAAAAATGAGAAGGAAAACAGACCAACCTTCCCCTATAGACAAATTTCATTGGTTCCACTGCCAGTGCCGTGGCTACGATGTCATCTGCATTGTGCCTTCGTCCACTAACAACCATAAGGCCATCCATTTTGCCAACAACAAATACAAGTCCACCTGGGCCAATAAATCCAAGCAGTCCCGTTCTTATAAAAGGGTATTCACTTATTGGTGCGCCTGAACTGGTCATAGGGAACACCTGCAAGACAGAGATAAAAAGGATGGACTTTGATTTTAAAAGAATCAAGTGGATCAGTGTATGGAGTTTGTAGAGCTGGGGTGAGAACTATGCAGCTCCCAAACACAGAACTTTAGTTTCCAGCAATCTTCCCTAATAGTTATGAAACAGGCTTGAGCAAACTTTGGCCCTTCAGGTGTTTTGGACTTCATCTCCTACAATTCCTAACAGCCTACAGCTGTGGAAGTTGAAGTCCAAAACATTTGGAGGGCCAAAGTTTGCCCATCCCTGCTATATAGACTACAGTTACTGGGACTTTCAGTCCAGCCACATTTGGAGGATTAATTGGTTACAATCTTGCTTCACAATACATGCTACAAAATACACAACTTATGAGTTATAGCAAATGAGGCATACACTCTTAGCCTTGATTACTTCCTGCAAAAGATGTCCATTCTGATACTCCTGAAACATCTGGAATTTAAGTAACGGTGTGATGTCAGTAGCTGGTAAAACAAATCCTTAAATGTTCAGGTTGTAGAAGAGTTCTGACTAACTTGGCACATTCAAGGTTGGGCTAGATATCATTCCTGCTTCTTGGCAGGGGGTTGGACTGGATGGCCCATGAGGTCTCTTCCAACTCTTTGATTCTATGATTCATGAGAGTTAAGGAAGGGTCAATCTGAGCCAAGTTCTGTTGATGATAAGTTCTTCAACTGTCTTGCTACTTCACCACATTTGTGACTGAATCCATTTCAAATCTGGTTGGTGCCTCCTGCAGAATTCTGGGCTTTGTAGTTTAGGGAAGAGCCTTTAACAGCCTCACTAAACTACAAACTCCAGAATTCTGCAGAAGGAAGCAACCAGATTTACAGTGGATTCATTCTCTAGTGTAATGAAGTAGATAGAAGTGTCTTCTTCTACAGTTGCACTCAGGGCAGGTTTTAGGTTTTAACTCTCACTTTTACTACTTTTTTCATACTACGGCAGAAATGAGTTGTTTTGCCTTAGCATTCATAGCTGCTAGAACCTTCCCCAAGGCACTGTTGAAGGATATATGAAAACAAAGTACCAGAAAAGGAAACAGAGAGGGATTCCATTATGTTACTGGCATGTGCATGCCCTCCAGTGTCCTTATCTCCTTAATGAAACACATCCTGAATTTCCTCCTACCTTCCCTACATATTACTTTCGGATGTTTTCATTTCGGAAACCATATACATCTGTCTTGCTTTGCTTCATTTGTGAGGCTTACTAGAGAACAATGTTGAGTGATCTATAGCCAATTTAAAAAGATGGCACAGGAATTATATTTGAACTCTAAGCGATATATTATAAATATTCCTATACAAATGCAGACATGTAAATGTAGGCTCAGACTACAGAAAATCCTTTTTCCTGCTTCATGATAAATGCTTTCCGTATAAGAGTCTTAATGTTCTGAGGAGGATATTAGTGTTTAGGAAAAGACCTTTAATGGAAACCCTATCTGTTACCAGTCAGTGTAGACGATTTGTGGTAAATGGCCTAATGGTTCAAACTTAGTATGTACAGGAAGCTTTATGGAAGATCAGCTGGTAATGCCTGACTGAATAACAATGTTGTAATTTTACTTGCTATCCATTAGAATAGGTGATAATGTGTCAGATCAGGAGTCCCCGAACTAAGACCTGCAGGCCAGATGAGGCCCTCCAAGATCATTCACCTGACCCCACCCTACATTTTAGACTTAGGGTTGCCCTAAGTCTGAAATGACTTGAAGGCATATAACAACAACAATCCTAATTAACTTAACTCCTCAGCCAAAACAGAGGTCCACACTTCCCACTGAAATACTAGTAAGTTTAGGTTGGTTAAAATGAGATATGTGCAATGTGCAAAGAAATTTGTTTATGTTTTTTTAAAAAACTATAGCTCAGCCCCCCAACAGTCTGAGGGACTATGAAGTGGTCCCTCTGTTCAAAAAGTTTGAGAATCCCTGTGTTAGATGAACTAATGGTCAGGTTTAACATAATGGAGGCTTCACCAATCTAAAAAAATTCAACAGGATTGTTTGCATCAGTCCAAATTAATCCAAAACATTTTTCAAACCTAGAAGTATAAAAAAGGAACCCCCTTGGTGAATCCCAACTCACCTCAAATGTGTTTTTGGTCATTCCAGAGAGCCCATAGTATGATGTACCAGTAGCAATTGCACATACACAGAGTTCACCTACTTCATCTGTTCGACAGAGCTGAGGCACTCCATCTGGTTTCACTGCACACATGATGGCTAGGTAAGAGAAAGCAAAATAGTTAGTTGGAAGACATACGGTAGGCTTACGAAGGGACAGGCAAAAACTACCAGAAAGGTTTAAAGTTGACTTAATATTTTAATTGCCTAATATTCTTGGAAATACCCTAAAGCAGTGGTTCCCAAACTGTGGTCCATGGACCACCTGTGGACTGCAAGAATGAAAATATGGTTCACGGCATCACCATTACTATATCATTGCCTCAAAACCACTCAGCAACGAGAGAGACTAGCCTTGCAAAACCCTCTTATAGTGCCGAGGTAACAGGGATGTTGGGAGGGGAGAGGCTGACTAGCCACGAAATATAAGTACTACCACATCAGCTCTAGATTATTAAATATGGTTTTCTGTGGGCAAGCAGATGGTGACTACTGGATAGCATATGTTCTGTATCAGAAACTAGATCTGATGTTTAGGGTATTTGTTTATTTATATACAGCTTTTATATTCTGCCCTTCTCACCCTGCAGGGAACTCAGGGCGGATTACAGTGTACACATATATGGCAAACATTCAATGTCAATTTTGACATACAACATATACAGACATAGAGGCTATTTAACTTTTTCTGGCCGCAAGGGGAGCTGTTACTTTCATCATCCATCTGCGACACTGATGAAGTACTTCCGCATTCCCTGCATGCTTTTTGCTGGAGTGCTTGCTGGAGTCTTTTTTTTTATAGCCTCATAAATTAGTTAATTTAGCCTCCCCACACTTTAAGGTGGTACCTAATTTTCCCACTTGACAGATGCAACTGTCTTTCGGGTTGCAAAGGTCGACAACAGGCTACACAATTGGTTGGAAACCCACTCCAACCCGGGCTGGCTTCGAACTCATGACCTTTTGGTCAGAGTGATCTTAATGCTGCTGACACTCAGCCAGCTGTGCCACAATCCCGGTGATCCAATTCAATTTTCTGAATCAGCACAGCAAATAACCAAAATGAATCTAAAGTTGACCAAAAAACAATTCATAACCTGTTTCATACTAATATTGGAGAGTGGTCCCAGTTCAAGTGGCCCCTGCTCAAATGGTCCCTAATTAAAAAAAAGTTGGGAACCACTGCCCTGAAGGTATCAGATCATGTCTGATTCTGGAAGATATGTGGGGTCAGCACTGGTTAGTACTTGGATGGGTGACTGTCAGAGTCAACAAGGTCCCATAGGCTCTGTTTCAGAGGAAGGAACTGGCAAAACTACCTCTGAATATTTCTTGCCTAAGAAAACCCTGTGAAATTCATGCAACTGGAAGGCACATACATACACATACACACAGATGCACACACACACATTCTTATAAATACCATAAGCCTTAAAAGCTAATTTTGCATTGTGCATATGATAGCAAGTTCGGATTTAATAGCTCATGCTGTGCACCAAGCTTTGAAAGAGCTAATGTGAGAGATACTATGGGTTGGCGCCTTAGTAATCACCGAACTTCTATTCAGACTTCAGAAAGGTTGTCAAGAGAACTATTGTTGTCAGAGCTCTCCCTCCTTCCCTTGGAAAGCAAGGTTGTTATGGTTTTTTTTATGGTATAGCGAGAACTGAAAATATAGACGTAATTCCTCAAACAAAATCATATTAAATATTAAGCAGAGATAAGACAGACATCCCATGCTTTATAGCTAAAGCTATAAAAAGAGGGATGGCTGCAGAAGGATAAATATACTCTTGATCATTATTACAGAGGAGGGGGAAAAGGTGGGGAGAGAAGATGCAATGCTGTCAAGAAAAGAAATCTTCCAGAACGACCCTGTAGTCCAACTTCTTGGAAATGATTCTGCCATGACAGAAGTGCCTTTTAATGCTTCTGCTCTCTCCAATCTTGGGCATAAAAAGGGAAAGCCATATAGGACTCCTGATGGATCTCTACTGCAGTAAATCCTGAGACAAGCATATGTTTAGAAACAGGGAAAGGAGCCAATGTGACAGAGAGTGGAAAGAGAAGAGAGAGCAAAATGCCTTTATAAGTGCAAGGAGAACTAGTTTTGCATTCACTTCCATCTACTGAGAAACATATGTACACACCAATTCAGGGCTGCAATCTATTCTGTAATGATTTCGGCTTTTACCAAGTAGACCTTACCATGCCACAGTTTTAAAATAAAGAAAACATGATTTATTGTGAGGTCCTTCATGGAAAAAATTGGCCTCGAATAAAAGGAATTCAAGTTTCATGTCAGGTTTGGAAGTTCAGACTCAGGGCATCAGCCTGAAACTTACCGCAATCTGCCTAAGACATCAATGTCTTTAAATAATTGTATACACATGTCCAGCTGAGGGATGGTTGCATTCGTAACAGAGTACAGACTCGGAAACAGTGGAGAAGAAGAAGAAAAAAACTACATACAGCAAGTCTTCCAAAATTTTCAATGGAGTTGGCACCCTCCATGAAATAGTGTCATGAACATGGCCAGTGGGAAAGATGTTGTTCACAGAAACAAATGGGAATTATGCCTTTTTACCTAAGTTAAATGATTTAATGTTTAATGTATTTATAATCTGTTATGTTAATGTTTTGATGTGGCATTGAATTGTGCAAAGCTCTAAGTTGCTCTGAGTCCCCCCTTGGAGTGAGATAGGGAAGGATAGAAATACGGTAAATAAATAATAATAAATGTTTGCTCGGGTAAACCTCCTTGCTATTTCAACTGCCAACATTTGGGAACAGTACACCGCCATGAAAACTCTACTGAACATGAGAAATAGCTCTCCAATATGTAGGAGGTTATTAAGCTTTGGGAGAAAGAGAAATCAAAACGAGCAAATATAAATGGAGTCGATTGTTATTCAGATAATTTGGAACAACAACAGCTAAAATAACATATTGTATATTCTTGAGTATAAGCCTAGTTTTTCAGCCTTTTTAGGCTGAAAATGGCCCCTCGGCTTATACACAATTTATTAATTATTTTACATTGTTATTATTCTTATTATTACATGTATTATTTTACTCTATTATTATTATTATTACATTTATTATACTCTATTATTACTGGTATTATTAAATTTCCATTATCCTACTCTATTATTATTACTATTACTGGGTTGTCGGTTTCTTCGGGCTTTTGCCTGCATCTATGGCAAGCATCCTCAGAGGTAGTAAGGAACCTCATTACCTCTGAGGATGCTTGCCATAGATGCAGGCGAAACTTCAGGAGAGAATGCCTCTAGACCATGGCCATATAGCCCGAAGAAACCTACAACAACCCAGTGATTCCGGCCATGAAAGCCTTCTACAATACATTATTACTATTACATTTATTATTTTACTCTCTTTATGATTACTGGAAGGATATATAAGCACATTTACATTGAAGAAGGTTAGAATAATGGTTTAATCAGAGCTGGACAGTCTTATCTTAAATTACAGTTTATGCAAACATTCAAAAACATTTAACCTACTGATGCCTCAATTAATGTAATTTTATTGGTATATATTTTTATTTTAAAATTTACCAGAACTTGCTGCATTTCTCACAGTCAGCTTATACTTGAATCAATCCATTTTCCCAGGGTTTTTTTGGTGGTAAAATTTGGTGCCTTGGCTTATATTTGGGTCGGCTTATACTTGAGTATATAATGTAGTTCATATTGTGTTTATTCTTTGAATGTGTATTTAAAAACTCCTTTAGATCCACAAAATAAGCTACATGAAAGAGTTTTGAGAGAGATAAGCAACAGTCCCGTTATGAGAAAAGGAGACAGTTTTTTTTAATACTCAGCTATTTCCTGACCTTTTTTTCAAATGCATAAAAAGTGCTTATACCATAATTCATGCACACTGCTTGAGTAGTTTGAAACATTTTAAAACCTTTTCAGAGCTGTCAGAGATTCTTTGATAAATTACAGAATCTAAAATTCCCAAGATATTTTAGGAGGAACATTACAACCGTTTATTTGAAACGATTTGTCTTTTCTGAACAGATCTCATGTGGCTGTATGCATCCAAGTAAAAGTCCATGACTTCTAAAGAAATATGGGCAACCTTACCTCCTGGCATCACCAAACCAACATCTTGCACTGTTAGCACAGAAAGCTTTTCTTCAGAATCCACTCTAATGACGCCATAGGTAAGGCCATGCATGGACAGGACCCCTCGGCCCGGTGGTTGGTTGCTGTCATCTGTTGGCCTACATGGTAAGAAATGTGGTAAGAAATGTTTATTCTGTCCTATTTTCAAAAGAGAAAGACACCTAGCAGGAAAACATGGGGTGTAGCTATGGAGGAAGGAAGCCAAACGAGGACATTGCATCCTAGGTTGGATCTACACAGTAGAATCAATACAGTTTGATGCCACTTTGGCTGCCATGGTTCAATGTATGCAATCATGGGAACTGAAGTTTTATAATGCCATTAGCCTTCTCTGCCACAGAGGGCTAGTGCCTCACCAAATTGCAACTACCATGATTCAATTACCGTGAACTATAGCGAACTAAAGTGACATAAAACAGCTTTAATTCTACAGTGTATGCAGACGCACCCCTTAAGAAGAATTTTGCATAGAATTGTGTGATCAAGTCAAAAGGCAAAAGGGAGGAAAACATATCTACTATGTCTAGTAGATCTACAAGTCTACATAGAGACCACCAAATGCAGCATTGTCCAAACACGAATCAAGGAACATGAAAGGCACTGCAGACTACTTCAACCAGAGAAGTCAGCCATAGCAGAGCACCTGATGAACCAACCTGGACACAGCATTTTATTTGAAAACACAGAAATGCTGGACCACTCTCACAACCACCATGTCAGACTACACAGAGAAGCCATTGAAATCCACAAGCATGTGGACAATTTCAACATAAAGGAGGAAACTATGAAAATGAACAAAATCTGGCTACCAGTATTAAAAAAAACTCTAAAATTACAACAGCAAAACAACAGAGAGGAAACAATGGACATCTAATCACCTCTCAACAAAAGATTGCCCAGGCACTGCCAGGCCATCAAATGCTAATCAAGGTGGTCAGTTGAAACATTCACACCTAGCTCCAGCAGACAAGAGTCCTTTGTCCCACCCTGGTCTTTCCACAGATATATAAACCCATTTTCCTAGTTCCAACAGACCTCACTACCTCTGAGGATGCTTGCCATAGATGCAGGCGAAACGTCAGGAGAGAATGCCTCTAGAACATGGCCATATAGCCCAAAAAAAACCTACAATAACCCAGTGATTCCGGCCATGAAAGCCTTCGACAATATATATCTACTATTTGGTTTAGTACAGGGTTAAGTGACATGAAAATCTCCAGATGTTGACAGACCAGAACACTCAACAACAAAACTTTATTTATATACCGCTCTATCTCCCTGAGGGGACTCAGAGTGGTTTCCAAGTAATACCATCAATACATATAAAGAAAACAGCTTAAAAATAAAATTAACAAGACAATATAAGTACAAAATCACAATYGCACATATATATTTAAAATAATCCTGCCTGTTCAAGGCAATTTAAAAGGCTGGGCCGAGGCTAGTGCAATTTGTAGAGGGCCCAGGAAATTAGGTAGAGTCTATGGCTGTTCATTTCCAGGGCCTAARAGGAGGAAGTAACCTGGGAAATTGGTAGAAAAAGATATGGCCATATTAAACAGTCTCTGGGGCTGAGCTAGAACTAGTCGTCCTCAAAGGCTTGTTTAAACCCCCAGGTCTTCAGGCTCTTACGAAAGGAGGGGAGGGATGGGGCCTGTCTTATTTCTCTAGGACGGGCATTCCAGAGGTGGGGGACCTTCACCAAGAAGGCCCTCTCTCTCGTCCCCACCAACCCTGCTTGTGATGGTGGTGGGAGCAAAAGGAGGGCCTCCCCGGAAGATCTTAAAGTTCGTGCCGGTTCATAGAAGGAGATGCGATCACGAAGGCATTCTTCACTGCTGGCTATCCTGGTTAGGACTGATGGGACTTGCAGTCCAACAGCAACTGGGCAGCTAAACTTTACATGTTGTCTTCCACAGTGGCAAGACTCTTTCCGAGCAATGCTGCTTTTAGTAAGGGTAGATGTTCTCATGTAATGTGAGGATGCCATGAGACATCAAACAAAGGCATTCGTGTCATCTCTGGCTTTTGCAAACCGGAATAAGAAATGGGTTCTCCTGATATTCCCTGGGTTTTCTGAAACACTAGCTGGGCATCAAGTAATCCTGTTAATTAAAAAGCAACAACAGGTGACTGGCTCCACAAATTGCCATTACTTAGGGACTTCCTTCTTCCTGCAATATAAAACCAACAAAAAGGATCAAATGTGCTAGCCACGGGTTGATTTGAATGTGCAGTAAGGCATAACAAGTGGGAGCTCAGTACATGGCCAGAAGTGATGAATGGTGTCCACATCATTTAGGAGAAAAATCTCCAACCCTGTAATCTGTCACATGTACCATGCTGCTCAGAAGATCACCTTGGAAACAGAAAATTCTCTATCGTTTTGCTTTTAAAATCAGATTGTGTCATCGTACAAGAGTAAAGCAAACAAGAATGGGAGAATATTACAATATAAACTGAACCTTATCAGAGATTGTAAGTTTAAGTTCGCTATGATGCACAGATAATTGATTCATTAATTTATTTTCAGCCATTTAGATGCATTTAACTAGATGAAACCTATCATTTCTGGAAGCAACATAAACATGTCAAAAGGACAAGGATGGAGCACTAATGTTCCATTTCCATTTTTGGGGGGACTGATATGAAAAAAACCCTACAAAAACCAGAGAAGACAAAATGGTGCCAATCCTATGAAAATTGATGGGGCATCACTATATTTAGTCTGGGATCTAAAACTCATTAACAGTTCCAATATACATGTACAAGCATATATTACAATATCCAGGTAATGCATTTTCCTTGTTATTTCCTGCAGTGCAGCTTGAGGCAAATATTGAACTTGTGAATAAACCTATATAGACAATATGAAAAACCATGTTTATATCATAATGCAACAGTAGGAACTTGCTCTGCATACCAAACGCAATCTGTAATACCGCTTGCCTATGAAACCACAAAGAGAAGTTGCAACTCAGTGTAGAAAATACTAAGGTGGACCAATGGCCTCAATTGAAGGAGAATGTTTCCCATGTTATCCAGTGGACTCATAACACACTATTACTAGATGATTACTATGGATAGCCTGATTGAGTGCTTTGATTTACATTCCAGTTTTCCCACCTGTTTGGGATGGAAGGTAATCCCCACCATAAATTAAAACACAGCTATCAGTAATGGGTTGTTGTAGGTTTTTTCGGGCTATATGGCCATGGTCTAGAGGCATTCTCTCCTGACGTTTCGCCTGCATCTATGGCAAGCATCCTCAGAGGTAGTGAGGTCTGTTGGAACTAGGAAAAAGGGTTTATATATCTGTGGAATGACCAGTGTGAGACAAAGGACTCTTGTCTGCTGGAGCTAGGTGTGAATGTTTCAACTGACCACCTTGATTAGCATATAATGGCCTGACAGTGTCTAGAGCAAACTTTTGTTGAGAGGTGATTAGATGTCCTTGTTTGTTTCCTCTCTGTTGTATGTCATTCTCAGGAGAGAATGCCTCTAGACCATGGCCATATAGCCCAAAAAAAACCTACAACAACCCAGTGATTCCGGCCATGAAAGCCTTTGACAATACTATCAGTAATATTGCAAGAAATAAATAATGCCACTTAAAATACAAATTAAATGGTAAATTATGGCTTAATATTATATGTCAACATGAGCCAAGACAGATGTGGACAAAGCCTATAATCACATTCATATCCTGAAACTCTAATATACTTCCCTGCTATTTTATGCTCACAACCAACTTGTGGGAAGGTTACCCTGACAGACTGAATAAAACAAGGTCAGCCTGTGGTCAGGGATATAAACCTAAGTCTCTTTGCTCCAACGGACTAATTACTATGGCACACTGACTCCCTTTTAACTATTACCCCAATGCAAATGTAAGCTCCAGATTCTAGACGCCTCTAGCTTTTAGGCATGTTTAGTGGGAGAAATCATGGGATCACCATTATTTCTCTACAGCCATAATGAAAACAACCACATTAAAAAGCATATAGAGCATTGGTTCTCAACTGTGGGTCTCCAGGTGTTTTGGCCTACAACTCCCAGAAATGCCAGCCAGTTTACCAGCTGTTAGGATTTCTAGGAGTTGAAGACCAAAACATCTGGGGACCCACAGGTTGAGAACAACCAAAACAGAGCAAGTGGGTAGTTTTATATGGCTTGATATACAATGCAACACAATGGATCATTGAATAAAGTACTAAGCATTTTGGAATCACATGTATGTAATGTTGACTTTCCACATTCTCAACATGAAAATATTATAGCTTCTAAAAGACAGGCAAAATCGGAAAAAAGAGAGTGAAATCTGCATGTAAAAAACAACTACAGTAGACCTCACAAGCTCCGATGATGCCTGCCACAAATGCAGGTGAAACGTCAGAAAGAATGCTTCTGGAACATGGCCATTCAGCCCAAAAAACTTACAGCGACCCAACTACAGTAGACTCTGTTTTAAGCAACACCCATGGAAATTGGTCAATGGTGAATAAATTGAGTTTCTGATTGCACAAGAGTTACTATTGCAAATAGGCCTAACTAATACTATGCCATATCATAAACTGTGTATAACACTGATTTTATTTCAATTTATATTTAAAGTATTATTTCTTCAAAATTTGGACTGGTTGTTTGAGATCCAGCTACTTGAATTCCGGTTAACTGGGGGTCTAGTGTATATAATTCCTATTACACTTCAGTGAAAAGCAACTAGTCTGTAGACCGTCTTTAATAACATACTGGTTTAAAAAAGAATAAAAGCAGAGGAAACCAGGAAAAACCCAAAATGTAAGGGAGAAGCCCCCTGATGACCAAAAAATCAGAGGTTAAAATAAGAGGAGCGGGGTGAGCTCCTGCTGTTAGGCTGAGCTTCTGCCAACTTAGCAATTCGAAAACATGCAAATGCGAGTAAATGAATAGGTACCGCTTCTGCAGGAAGGTAATGGCACTCCATGAAGTTATGCAGGCCACATGACCTTGGAGGTGTCTAGGGACAACGGCAGCTCTTCAGCTTAGAAATGGAGATGAGCACCAACCCCCAGAGTCGGACATGACTAGACTTAATGTCAGGGGAAACCTTTACCTTTACCTTTAAAGAAGAAGCAATGTCTCCCTTCTGTGATGAATTCTCTTTGCTCCAACGGACTAATGATCAAATGTTTCCCCATTTCTTTGGATCTGGGACAACTTTAGATATAAACCTACATTGCTTTCAGAACTGTTCGTTTTAAACATAGAAGTATGTTACCTTCTGATAGCCACTGTGAGAGCTTCTGGTGAACTAGCACAAGGACAGATGACTTCTTGTCTTAGGCCTTTGCTTTGGAAGACATTAAGAAATGCGTCGCAACTAGAAATAGACCCTGGAATTAAAAATAGAGGAATTTGACTGAATAGAACATTTCAAAAGACTAGATATATCTGTATCATTCAAATTTCTTACACACATAGTACATATAGAGATTATAACCCTTAACAGATGTTGTTGGACAAAGAAACTCCAACATTCTTCATCATTGGCCATGATGGCCCATTCTTCTAGGCATTTGATTACAATAATATCTGGGGAGAAGGACCGCTCCAGTCCTATGTGCTGAAAAGGATCTTTCTAATACAAGGGGATCTTCAGGTGGCACAGAGTCTTAATTTCCAAAGGACTGGTAGGGATCTGTAATCCTTTTCAATCCAATTTGGACAGATTTAGAACATTCTTGCCTAAATGTTTCATAAAAAAAGGGAAGGACTGCTTGCATCTCAGTTATGCAGTAGGCTTTTTAAAATACGTTAATTAAAACCCCATGTAGGATAGAAATTTATTCCAACCTAATTAATACCAATTTACAGGATCCTAGCAGAATATCTGTACCTGGTATCTAGAAAAGGAGATACATGTAGAAAATTCTCTTTCACATGGAGCTTAATGTTTGGTTTCAAGAAACAGAATAACCACTTCCCCTGCTGCTTCTAATGGCTTAATCACGCTTTTCTTTTCTTTACTCTGGCATGCATTATCAAAGTAGAAAAACATGTGAATATGCCAAGGATTTTCAAACAGTTTCACTGGAACCCAATCAATTCATTCGGGAGTAAAGTAGGATATAAATCAAATAAATTAAGTTTTGACTCTTGTATACTCTAAGTGAGTCAGAAACTGGGTATTTTCACAGACCACTATATTTTGTGTCCTAAACAAAATGGGGCCCCCTTCATTCCATGTTGGGGTCCTTTTTTGTGAATGACACCTAGTGGCTGTTTTAGACATCTGCACAAATCTGATGAGTAGTGTTTACATTAGATTCTGCAGAATATGCTTTAGCTGTACTTCATAAAAAGGAAAATCAGCCTGTTTGGCAAGCCTTGGAAATGCTGATTTGTTATAGTACATGTTTGATTTTAATACCTATGCTATATATATATATATTATCTGGGGTAATGCGAAAAATTATCAGGACAAAAGGGGTCATGAGTGGAAAAGTTTAAGAAGCCCTGGTACAGAGGATGGTGTCAAAGATCAGGGTTTTCTCAATGGTGCTACCAAGGCTATGGAATTAGTTTCCCAGAGATTCTGCTCTATCATTAATTATTATGTTAGAAGCTTTTCTGGATTCATTTGGGCTTCAATCACTTGGTCATTAGTTTGTTCTTTCACTGTATATCCTGCTCTTCTCCTGGATTGGCTAAAATCATACTAAAAGGCAAATAGTTTAAAAGACACTTAAAAACTAATTAAAATGTGCTCATATTGTTTCTTGATTATAATTAGTATCTTTTTAGCATCTCTATTATGTTGATATATATTATTTTTACAGTAGGCCCAAGGTATCTGCTGGGGATGGTTTGATACCAAAACCTTTAGATGCTCAAGTCAACAGCATAGTAAAATGACATCTTTTATATAAAATGGCAAAATCAAATATTGTTTTTTTTAGATTTGTTTAAAATATTTTGAAGCCATGGATAGTTGAATTGAGAAATCCCTAGAAACAGTTAGCTGATGATATCATTATCATTACCATCACCATCACCATTGTCATCATCATTGATGTATTTTGCTGACTTCTTCTTGATGTTTATATAGCTGGTTTCATAACAAAGTTAATGTTTGTGACAAAACCAGCTCAATAAATAAAACATAAAGAGCAATCCAAATAAATAAACAAAGTATGTAGCTATACCAAAGAGAAAAAATAACTGAAGTGGTAAAAGCCAAAGGAAGAGCATCCTCTTGTGACAAAACATCCTTCATACTTCACATTTACATTCAAGGTTACTTTTTACTCTGTTATGTCTATCCAAGTATGAAAATAAAACTTTTGAAAGCTTTGCAGAGAGAAATCTTCTGCTCCTTCCTACTGCTGAAGGATACATTTTATTCAACCTTTACATAACAGCCTGTCATATCATATTTAATTGGATTTGCTGCATTAATGTGGAATATCAGGTTTGCTTCAGGATTTTATGGAAGAAAGCAACACTTAAAAAGAAACCCCAAACCAAAATAAATTATCATTTCTGAAAACAGTTTGCACAGAAACTCAAAATGTTCACGAAACTATTGCTATTTGTGCCAAAGCCAATCATTTTTAAATGCCAACCCAAAACCAAATGTGAAAACAAACCATCTCACACATGGAATGAATTTGTTAATGAAAACATCCACCAAACACTTAAAATATGCAGCCTCTTTCACTGCCTTGCATCATCACTGAGGTCAACCAAGGATGCCCAATCCATCATTATGCCCTTCTTGCGTTCTCTCACCACCACTTACATGGATTGGCGCCATCAGCTACTATTAGCATACGGAGCGAGGAAAGGTTGATATCTCGTTGATCTCTATGTGCTACTAATGCCCAGTGCATATCCCTGGATTTTACACAGGCAACTTTTGCTGGAAAGGAGAAGAGAGGAAAAAGTTCAATTTGAGCTTGAAAAGTTCGACACTTAGTTAAGTACACAATAAATCTCATAAGACACACCACAAACAAACAGGAAGATGCAGAAGATTGGCATTTATTACTATGTTAAACAAACAGAGGAAAATCCCAGTTTAGCAGCGTATGCTTCGTAGCCTTCAGGGGTGAGGTATGTGTGGGAGGAAAATACATCCCAATACATCTCCCCAGCAAAAAAAAGAAAACAGTGTACGCATTCCCAAAGGCATTTTACCATGTTTTAGATCTTTCTGGGCCACTTTCAGCCAATGAAAGGCCTTTTTAAACAATATAAGCAAATGTAACTCCTTTTTTTTTTTAAAAAAGATCTCTCATGAGTCTAATTTAGGGGCCCAAAACATAGTGATAATGCCTTTAACTTTCTATAGCTGTGGTTTTCAACCTGTGGGTCTCCAAGTGTTTTGGCCTACAACTCCCAGAAATCCCGGCCAGTTTACCAGCTGTTAGGACTTCTGGGAGTTGAAGGCAAAACATCTGGAGAACCACAGGTTGAGAACCATTGCTCTATAGGATATTTTGGGAGGAAATTGTAGTTTTATTTTAAATTGACCCCTGAGGAATTCCAGCCATCACCCTCACCCTCACCAGCCAACATCATAGGTTAGATCTCCCCATGATGACCATCTCCCATCTGTTCAAAGAATGCAAGTATAGAAAGGTAACTCTTACCTTTGTACTGGCAAACCTTCTGTATCCATGAAAGTGGGTTCACTTTCATTAACGAATATGGGATGCTTATGACATGCATCATGTTCATAACACTCTGAAATCAAATCAAGGGAATATGGGTTTCAACAATAAACAAATGGTCTACAATCTCAAAATCTTCTCAGTGTTGATAGCTGCCAATGTTTTGCTTTCTCAGCACAATTCTGAAATCTGAGAAATCAGAAAAATGAACAGAGCTTTGGTTTTTTTGGGGTTTGACCCTTAAATGAATGAGTGTTACCCAGAAAGACTACTTGCCTGCCTTCATTTTACCGAAATCCAAAGGCAATGCAAGAATAGGCTTTAAGCTGTGAATATACTATGGCCAACATTGATCTAAATTGCAGAATTAATAGTTTGACACCAAAGCGTGATGGGGCCTCATCAAACAAGAACTGAACAATGGCAGTTAAATTAATTTATTCTATAGTGTAGATACACCCTGAAAAAGCATTACTCCTCTGTTTTTAAAACCTCCATTTTCAGGAGTTGTACATCTTCAATTAAAATAATAGAGTTGGAAGAGACCTCGTGGGCCATCCAGTCTAATCCCCTGCCAAGTACCAGGAAAATTGTATTCAAAGCACCCCCTACAGATGGCCATCTAGCCTCTGTTTAAAAGCCTCCAAGGAAGGAGTCTCCACCACATTTGAACTGTTGAACAGCTCTCACAGTTTGGAAGTTCTTCCTAATGTTCCTAATGTTCAAGTGGAATCTCCTTTCCTCTAGTTCGAAGCCATTGTTCTGCATCCTAGTATTCAGGGTAGCAGAAAACAAGCTTGCTCCCTTCTCCCTTTGACTTTCCTTCATATAATTATACATAGCTATCATGTCTCCTCTCAGTTTTTAAAACATCCACTTTCAGGAGTTGTACCTCTTCAATTTTTATACAATGAGGTAAGAGGAGTTGTTTGACATTTTCCAAGGCTGCTCACTGTTGAACAAAGAAACCTACATTCAACAGGAATTTGGAAAGGTATCCTCTCTAGCCAGCATAGATGCCAGTAAATTGCCCTTGCTTTTTTTTGCGGGGGGGGGGGGATTCTGGAAGTTTCGGTCCAAACAGTAATGCTTCCATACTCTGACTCTAGCACTACAATAACTTCCAGTGTTACTAAGTTTTGTGCTGCAGGCACTTAAAATTAGAAGGATGATAATTGACCCCGCAAGGAAATGTGGTTAGAGCAACATTTTACAGCTGAAATGCTACTAGACTTGTAATGTGCCCCTCCCATCCCCTTTAGTGCCCCCCCCCCGTGCCTTGACCCCTCCTATCAGTCTTCACTCCCCCCCCCCTCTCGGTTCCATACTTCTTACATTAACCTGTGTTTTAAACTGTTTTCTAATCTGGGGAGCTGTGTTTCCCCTTCCCAGGGCACTCAGTGACCGTAATAAAGAATTGTATTGTGATGCTTTGAAGCTCTTTTGCCAGTTGTTGTCATTGCCCCAATAACTTCCTGCTAAGAAAAAACCCCAATTAATTTCTGTATGATTGGATTGCACCTATGGCATTTCCTAGGATACGTTTCCCCGCAAAATAATCTCGAATCAGATTGCAAATGTGAAATAGATAAATTCCATTCTTCAACAGCGACTGCATGAAGCACGACTCACCGTAAGAATCCCATGCCACAAGCCAACATCCTTCTTGAAATCTAACACGTTCACAATTGTTTCAGCTGTACAATAAAAGAAGGGTTAGTGACAGAGTTATAAAACAGCCTGAAAAAAACCTTCAGTTTAAGAAATAATTGAATACACATTTGATGATTTTTTAAAAATTGCCAAAAGAGGAACTGCAGAACCATTTGAGACAAATTGTTACTGACTGATTGTTCTTGGCTAAACTGTTGTTCCCTTTCCCTTTGACTCTTGTTTTCATTTGTATTACCTCTCATAATCAATGGTTCGTATGGAAACAGACGTGGTTTTTTATTTTTTTAAATGTAGAAAATACATATGAAACAATACAATTTTAAGAAAAAGGACAACTCCACCTATACAGTTGTCAGATGTCTCTGCAACATGACTCATGATACATATCTCAAAGGCCAATGCACTCTCTTTAATGTGAGCAAGCATTAGAGCCCAGGAATTCTACAGAAAAAAAAAACCTTCTATATTAATCCAAAACACAGAAAGATTACAATCCATGACACAAGCCTATCGGGACAGTTAAAATCAGCCTACATTCTATCCATGATCTTCCAACCAGAAACTCATTTATCTTGGTGCAACTGTCATTTGAACTGCTATGTAGTGTGCCAAGGATGAACAAATCCCATGAAATTCAGTTTTCCAAAGACAGGTCAAACCAATCTTTGCTTGGGAATGATAGCTCTTCCATCTCTAAGCTAAATCTAGAAAGAACAGTTAGCATACTACATAGTATTTAAATTACTTATTTTAGGAAGGAAACTTGCTGAAATACCTTCTGTATATCCACAGGCTTGTGTAAGAGCTTGACAATGGGTCAGCAGTGCAATTCTTGTCACCGTAACCCCGAGAACACTTCCATCTTTGCATGTTTTGTACTGCAAAGTAAACAAACAAACAAACAAACAAATAAATAAATATATTTTTTAAAAAAATAAATCCACATCAAGGCTGAATCAGGAGGGATAATCAACTGAGAGAGGACAGGATGGAAGGGCAGTGATTCTCAGGCTCTAAATCCCAAGGTGCTCCCCACCTGAACAGGCATTTCTCGTATCCACCCCGACATACTAAAAGTGACAGAGGCAGTTTTTGTTTATAGTCTCCAAGTTATGAACAGAATAAGTTCTGCAGGTTTGTTCTTAAGTTGAATTTTTTGTAAGTTGGAATAAGTACATTTTAAAGTGAAACTCCAGCCATATATATATATATATATATATATATATATATATATATATATATATAGTTTTGGATAGCACAGGGAAGGGTTAATACTCCTGTGGTGTTTTGCTGTCTGTGCTCCTCTTCAGGAAATTTTAGCACACTTTCTGTCCCTGTGATAACTGGATTTTGAAATATTTCGCTTGTTGTGGAAATAAGGATTCGAGATAAAGTTTCAGTTGAGACACCTTTCCCCCATGATAACTCTTTCAGGAGTGAATTTCCCTTCCAATTGATAGATATATCTTGCTACCTGCTGTCCCTGTTTTTAACTATGAGTTGGATGTTCATAACCTGGGGACTGGCTGTATAAGGGAATGAATGCATCTCTGGGCTTTTCCAGATTCATCTAAATGGGTGGTTTTTAACCTGTGGTCTGTGGACCACCAGTGGGGTGCGAGGACGAAAATCTGGTCAATGAACCTCCCTCTTTATTTTATTTATTTCCGCTCCTTTCACACTGCCTACCACTCCTTCCCTGTCGCTGACCATAGCACATGTTCTGTATCAGAAGCTAGAGCTGATGTGGTCTATCCAATGCAATATTCAGACTCAGCACCCCAAACCACATCTAAAGTTGATCAAAAACTTATTCATAATCCTTTTGGTACTAATGTTGAAGAGTGGTCCCTGGTCAAGTGGTCCCTGGCCAAAAAAGGTTGGGAACCACTGATCTAAATAAATTTGAGTTCTTGTGATAACACTCCTTGCATTATTCCAATGGTTGTTGTTGCTGCCTTCTCCTTTTATTCCTTTGGTGGAATGCTTGCAGCAATTTTTTGGATCAGCAATTGGGTTATTTGAATTTTTTAAAAGCCAGGATGCAGTTTTCTGAAATGCTCCTAAGGGTTCCATGACAAATGTTCTCCAGTTAAAAAATAATTTAGAGTTAGTGAGGTAGATTGCAGAAGTACCATTTCATGGGTGCCTTGCTGCACTGTAATACAGGATGTCCCCCAAAAATAATTGCCATGCACAGGGAAATGGGGAATTATAGCTATTCTTGTTGTTCTTGTTGTTGTTGTTGTCGTTGCTGTTATTATTATTATTATTATTATTATTATTATTATTATTTTACCAACATAAAAGCACAGTATGTCACAGCAAACGAGATCTATATGCTGGATTTCCTATGAAAAAAATCACAAATCGAACACTTCCCAGGCGTGATGTATTTTCAAATGATGCGTGCAGATCCAGACCATGATTTTGTTGATGTTTATTGTTTCCAAAAGCCAGCTGAGATCTTTTGGCATGGCACCCAGTGTGTCAATGACCACTAGGACCACCTGTACTGGTTCATGCCAGAGCCTTTGCAGTTCGATTTTGAGGTCTTGACAGTGGCTGAGTTTTTCTTGTTGTTTTTCCTCAATGCGGCTGTCACAATTGTGATGTCTGGTGTATTGCGTTCCAAAACTTGGTCAGTCTGGATTCGAAAATCCCACAGTATTTTTGCATGTTCATTTTCCACGACCTTTGCAGGTTTAAGATCCCACCAATTCTTTACTGCTGGCAGGTGGTACTTGTGACGTAAGTTCTAGTGAATCTATTATTATTATTATTATTATTATTATTATTATTATTATTATACCCCGCTTTATCTCTCCCGAAGGATATTTTAACATAAAAGCATTAGCATGCAATTCAAAATGAACAAATATGCAAACATCAAAACAGAATTAAATATAAAGAGTATTTAAAAAATTCAGTTAAAATCCATTAAAACATATTCAAGTTAAAAACCACAGCTAAATATACCTTTATTTACAAAATATTCATTACAAAAATTTACAAAACTCTTTCAGTGTTTTATATATATTTATATATGCAGACAAATATTAAAATATTGAAAAAATATAATATAATATAATATATTTTTTCTTAATTTTTCCTATGGATGGAGACCTTTGGGACACCCTGTATAATAACTCTGGTGATAGATAGATAGATAGATAGATAGATAGATAGATAGATAGACAGACAGACAGACAGACAGACAGACAGACAGACAGACAGAAAGGAAAGGAAAGGAAAGGAAAGGAAGGAAAGGGTGCTTTTTGCTGATATATCTCAGAACTAAAAATAAAACCCACTTGAGAATAGGAATAAAAACTGAAGCTGGTCCTGGGAATTGCCTGTAAATTGTGTGGGTCAGCAAAGACATCTTGCACACAAATATAGATAGATAAACTTGTTAACAATATCAACTAACTGTCCAACTGGAGAAAACCTCTGCACAAGAAACAGCACAGATGCTTCCTCTTATGCTTCCTCTTATAAGTAATGAAAGTCAGGCAGCAGAATGAATGGCTAATGTACATTTAAGGTATTAGCTCTACTTGAACCCCTGCTGATTCTGGGAAGCAGCAGAAAAGATCTCATCTCATCCAACAGCAGGGCATAGAAAAGTAGCCATACTGGATCAGGGATCCTGGGAGTTAAAGATGAAAAATAGTAGCATTTCCAAGCTCTGTGAAGCAGTAGGTCATTGTTTCTGCCCTTCTAACATTAACCAGCATCCCCATTAAAAATTAAAACACAACCAAAGCCATATATTATTCAACCACCAGGCTTTCAGGTTTTCTTTGCCAGCGGCCTGCTTCTGCATCCACATATCTTGCTAATTCTTTACACATCCTCTGCCTTCCATTATCCCTTATTCCCTAAAGATCCAGACAAAGCTATTAAAAAACAACAACCTGGTATCAATACTTTATCAGGTCTGAACTGGCTTCAGTGGTAGGAATGAGTCTAAGTGCTGAATTGATCAGTCCTGATCCCTGGGGCTTTCCAGTCTGAAACCCTAGCAATACAGTAACCTGACTTATACCAACCAGGCTAGAATATTTGTTCTGCTGCACTCTGACTGATAGTGGCTCTCCAACAGAAGTCTTTCTCACCACCTCCTACTGGTACTATTGAACTAGGATGATCACATATTGACCCTATAACCATCCACATGCAGGGCCTTCCTTTTTTAAAAAACTACTTTGGAACAATCACTTTTGGGAACTCTACTTCCAGAGACAAACTCCATCAATTTCTCATCTTGTGTTTGGAGAAGGGCTGGTTGTGATGGAAAACTGCACTGGACACAAGTGGGCCAGACTGGAAAAGCACGTAGCAGAGGAAGTGGCAATCTTCCTTGTGAGCCAGCATAGCTTGAAATGTTGCGGGAGGAGAAGTCTGGGGATAAAGCAGGTGGTACCAAGTGGTCTTTATACTTATGTCCTAGAGCACTGGCCCACCCAAATCAATGGTAAAGGTAAAGGTAAAGGTAAGGGCTTCCCCTTGACATTAAATCGAGTCGTATCCAACCCTGGGGGATGGTGCTCATCTCAATTTCTAAGCTGAAGAGCCGCCGTTGTACGTAGACGCCTCCAAGGTCATGTGGCCAGCATGACTGCATGAACTGCCATTACTTTCCCGCCGAAGTGGTACCTATTGACTTACTCACATTTGCATGTTTTCAAATTGCTAGGTTGGCAGAAGATGGGGCTAACAGCAGGCGCTCACCCCGCTCCCCGGATTTGAACCGCCAACCTTCCGGTCAGCAAGTTCAGCAGCTCAGCAGTTTAACCCGCTGCGCCACTGGAGGCTCCTGGTCAATGGTAGCTATGTTATTTCTGTAGACTGGATGGGCAATTGTGAGTTAGGTTAGAGAACTGTATTATCAATCCAGACTTTGGGAGAATTGTACCCATTCTCATACATCCTTTACAAAAGATTTGCCCTCAAATTACCCCCAATGCTCTATTTGGAACAGGGGATATTTTGCTATATTTTAAGGGCTTCTTGGGACATTTTCAGGATGGGTGGGTGGAAATGTCCCAAAATATGACAGAAATGCCCTCCACGTCTCTCAGAGTGTATTGGGAAGCTTGTGAGGTCTGGAAAAAATCACTCAACAAAATAGTCCCAGGGGCAGTGAAAGTAAACATATACCTGCTGAAATTGGATAAAGGTAATAAAAAAAACCCTGAAAATGGGTTTCTATGTAAAAATGTTCAAAGCGATATCAGCTGCAAATGATATGTCTTTTATCCCTTCATATTGAGGAAAATGTACACTGAGGATGTTCTAAATTCTTCAAACCATGAACAGATTGGAGGCTCAATGTTTGACGAAAGCCAGCACATGTATAATATGACATTTAAAGAAGTAAGGCATGTGATATCCTCAACACAGGGAAAATATTCAACCCAGAGAGAGAGGACAAGCAACACATACATGCATGTACACACAGACACTAAATTCACCTCAATGTAAGCTGTGTCGTTGTTTGCATCTTTGATATGTGGAAACCAATCTCGTGGAGGTTTCGAAAGATGTTTTGACTCCGTGACAAACCACAGCAGTTTCGGCCAGCCTTGGATAGAAAACATAAAGCTTGAGTCATTTCTTTATTTTAGGCATCAGCCAGGCAGAAACAATAAAATAGCCGTTCTTAACCTGAAATATATGTATTCTCTAGAGGGGTCTATGGATGTAATTCAGGTCTCTGAACCAATAATAAAAACTGGGTTTTCCCCCACCTTTGATTTTCTTCCCGTTACTTTGATTCTTTTTTTCTACCACAGTAAATTTTAAGGTGCAAATTCAGCCTGGATTCTTTTTAATGAATAATGAGGCATAAATCTAACCTGCAGGAGAAAACTGATGAGCATGTATTAAAACTCAAAGCAAAGCAGGAGACAAATATTCACATGCTGATAGATGATTGCTTGCTTTATTTGTTTTTGAAACCTCAGTGTGTTTCGACCACTGACAGAGCTGGCCTTCCTCATGGCCGATCAATATAGTTCTTTCCATTTCCTTGCAATGTGCATGAAGACATCGTGTGAGCCTACCTACCTTTAAACTGTGGTATTTCCCCCGTGGGGCTCTTAGGCAGTCCTTTATGGCACGCATCACTAGTCAAGGCCACAGTGACACCACAGCTGCCAAGCAAGAAGCCTATCTGTTGGCTTCCTGCATCCTGGTTGAAGACAAAGCAAGAGAGGACCCATGAAAATAAATCACAGAGGTAATGAGAAGGTCACTTCAAATAAAACACAGTTATGCAAAAGGCACTGGGCTTTGCTTAGCAAACCAAATGCTTTTTTTTTAAAAAAAATCTGCTGTCATAATCTGAGCAGATTTACTACATTTAGTACCTTTGAGTTTTTGAGACAGAGGCCAAGAATATCACATCCTGAGAATTACACCTAACTAATTAAAATTCAATGGAAATTCCCGAAGTTCCCATTATTATTATTATTATTATTATTATTATTATTATTATTACTGTTTTAGCTAATGTTTGAAGGGCTCTAGGAAATCTGAATTGAGCTCCCAGATGCCTGTGGCAGAGAAGAGAAAAGACCCGTCTTAGGAAGAAGATTTAGGAAGAAGGTGTAAGCCAATTTAATTTATCCTTATGTAGCAAAAAAAAAAAAAACCAAAACCCTCACAAATTTAGTCCAACTTCCATTATGCAAGAATGTGGAATCATAAAATCAGTTGTTGATTCTCAAAGGTAAGACAAAGTACAAAGTAAGTGTTAATACATAGAATTCAGAGTTGTAGAATGTGATGACCTTGACAACTTTTTAAAAGAAACAGAACACAACAAAGCAAACCTTTGAGATGCATTCATTTCAGTAATTTTTAATGATCAAGTTCAAAAAACTGTCTCTGAAAACCAAAGGCTGAACAAATAATAGAAGACATTACTTGGAGGCTTTCTGGAGACATCTGGATGGTCATTCTTGGAAACAGATTATCAACACATATGGACTTTTGGTCACATTCAACAAAGCTTCTGTGGAAAGCAGACTGAATCCTCCCTAAAACGATTCCTCAAATGGTGCGCCATAGGTGGCCAATTGCTTTCATATCCACTTCAGGATTTATTCTAAGTGTTAAAGGAGAGACCCGAAGTGCTGGATTTATTTTAGGAACAGAATTTAGCACCTTGGGGCCCATCCAGACAATCCCTAAAACGCGCACCCTCCCACGTTTGAATGCCCCACGTAAAAGCCAATGGTTTAGGGACAAAGCAGGAAAGACCCGGGTCTTTCCAGCTGCAGGAGCTGAGTAGATGGGGACCAGAGATCACACTGAACAACTTCCAGTACCCATCCACACAGCTATCTCAGTTTTTATAGGCTCCTAGTCCCTCACAAAAACCCCTTAAAAGCATTTTAAAAAGGAAAATAATTCACCTGGCCACTATTCCCCCTTCTCTGGAGCTCTCCTGCAATGTACCAATGACGCACCAGGGGAGGGGGGAGAAGGAAAATCGCTCCTGCCCCCTTCTCCTAGCATATCATTGGTATCCGCCAGGAGAGCTCCACATAAGGGGGAATGGTGGCCAGGTGAGTTATTTTCCTAGCGGTCACCCCCCCCCCCCCAGGAAAGCACAACCTTTCAGGGGGGGGACTTTAATCCTGGAGCAATCACATTTAACAAACGCGATTGCTCCTAGGTTAAAGGGCTGTCTGGAACTGCCCTTGGATAGCTCCTTGAAAATCCAAACTAAAACTCAATTTCTGACATGAAAAATTCCTCATGATGCTTGAGTTTGGATTTTTCCAAATAGGGAGCAGTTGCACTCTTTGTCAGCATTGAGTCAAACAAGTCTAACCCCCATTGTATAGTTTACCATTCCTGCCTCTTCTCCTTTTTGTCACATAGGTAAAACATATAAACGTATGTTCTGTCTTGACTAAAAACTAGTTAGAAAGGAGAAGATGCTTCTTCTGTTTTTGGCTCCCTTGTTTCAATGTACACAGCCAATCAATGTTATTTTTAAAAGGACCTAAATTATGCATATGGAACCCCCTTGATATGCAACATGAATCTGTTCAAGAGTTCAATATCCTAATTTGTACATACATGTTTTAAACTACTCTAAGCAGAAAATAATTTCAAAGCAAAAAAGAGAATTTTGCAAAGAGCATTAAACATTACAGTGATCTTATCACAAAGCAAAGAAATTCTGCAGGAAAGAAGTGAGGGAAATGAGAAGTTGGGAAAAATTTAGTTGCTATCAACATAAATAATATTATAGACAGATCTGATTTCCGCAGCTTATTCAGTTTTGATTTGTACATACAGTTAAAGTGTTTACTAAGTTATTTGACTCAGATAAAAGACATGCATCAATCCCCCACTTCGTTGCGCCAGCTTCCCCACATCCTATTTGAGGAAATGTTTTACTGAGTTGATGAGTGTGTGTATATTGAATTTCGAATGACATGATGGGATGAGAAACTAATTCATGATTGACTTGTATAACCTTTTTCAAAGTTCAGACATCCAGCACGTTCTCAACTCTATTTGCATTTTCTGCTTATTGTAATCATTATTAGATATTTATTTCCAGTTTGGACATACTTTTGCAAGAAAAGTCTTCAGAAATGAGCTCTCATTTGGTTTGGCTTCTATGAAAATCCAGACAGAAGGAGGAGTCCCCTTTTTAAGATAAATAGAAAGAGATAAAGAGGATGAAATTATGCCATTTTGGGGGAAAACGGTGCATGCTGCGCTGTCAAGTAGCTCAAGGAGGACCTGAATTAGCCAGGGCCTAGGAAATCTACAAAAGGCATTAATACATGGCAGCAGATAAGCTAAAAATGCATCCTACAATAGGCTGGGATTGATGTTATCAGCTTGCCATTAGCTTCTTTCCTTCATCCATTCCTGAAAATAAAGTTTCTCTCCTTCCTTGTTTTTACTAAATCTCACTTCTAATGTCATCATTTACAAGTCATGCCAGTGGTTTCTTAGCCAAAGTAAATCATTCTGACTTTGAATTGTAGCATTCCAAGGTCAACACATTCCTGTAATTTCCTTACCTATTAAGATCCTTTCCTCGACTTATTCCCAGGGCAAGTTAAGGATAGATAGATAGACAGGTAGAATTTATATTCACAAGCCCAAAGTCAATGTTAGAGCAGGGGCTTTAACATTTGCAAATCCAGCTTTAGTTGCCTGGGCTTCCTGACACACAGATAACACTCAATCTACCATCTTGGTTTCAAAACAAAAGTGCGTAAGAAAAGCATGTACTCCATAGGATGTGTGATAAGCTCTCTTTATCTCTCTTCTGAACTTGATATGGAAGAGGTGGAAAGGCATCAAAGAGGAGAAGAAAATTCTACATATATAAAATATTGCTTATTGCTCAAATGTATCTCAAGTAACATCAACCTCTGGGGCACTGCACAATAAACACTGCTCTGTGTTCCATACGTTTTCTCCACAATTCAAGAAAGCATTTGAAGACTACAAAGCATCACGCAGGTATATAGGGCTTAATAAGTACACTGATTTATAGGGTTTTTTTCCTTGCTTCTGCTTTGGGTATCACTCACAAATTCCTCTTTTGGCAAAGTAGCATATACAGCAGTGTTTCTTAACCTTCCTAATGCCATGACCCTTTAATGCAATTCTTCATGCCATGGTGACCCCCAACCAAAAATGTATTTGTGTTGCTACTTCACAACTGTAATTTTGCTACTGTTATGAATCATAACGTAAATGTTTGATTTGCAGGATGTATTTTCATTCACTGGACCAAATTCGGCACAAATACTCGTTATGGCCAAATTTGAATACTGGTGGGATTGGGGGCAGGGATTGATTTTGTCATTTGGGAGTTGAAGTTGCTGCTTTATAGTTAACCTACAATCAAACAACATTCTGAACTCCACCAACAATGGTATTGAACCAAACTTGGAACACAGAACTCTCATGACCAACAAAAAATATTGGAATTGTCCAGTGGGCATTCACCTTGAGTTTGGGAGTTGTATTTCACCTACATCCAGAGGGCACTGTGGACTCAAACAATGATGGCTCTGAACTAAACTTGGCATGAATATGCAATATGCCCAAATGCGAACACTGGTGGAGTTTGGCAAAAACAGACCTTGACATTTGAGAGTTATAGTTGCTGGGATTTATAGTTCGCCTACAATAAAAGAGGATTCTGAACCCCGCCAACGACAGAATTGGGCTAAACTTCCCAAACAGAACCCCCATGACCAACAGAAAATACTGTGTTTAATGATGGTCTTTGGTGACTCCTTTGACACCCCCTCATGACCCCCCCGAGAGGTCCCGACCCCCAGGTCTGCTATACGGCCTGTCAACTGACAGCTCTCCACCTCAAACCCCTTTGGAAAAGCACTTTACCTGCAGAGAGACTTGTTTGGACTGGAAAAAAAACTTAGTTCAGAAACACTGACAGTTATTCTGGAGATGGCCAGGTTTAATGACAAAAAGGCAAAGTGACCTTTACACAGAGAAATGTCCTCTCCCACCAGTTTGTCAAAATAGTTCCCCTTGTTTATGGAGGGCTTGAGGCAGATTCAATAGGAAAATATGCAACTGTACCAGAGAGAGAGAGAAAGGGTGAGAGAGGTGATCTCCTGGAAAAACAACAAGTCCTGTCAATTCTGCGATGCTAATCACCTTTTTTGGGCAGGTGAAGAAGACAGAAGAGGAGGGAGACTAACTGCCTTGAATACAAATTGGTATGATTTGCTATTTCAAAACCTAGTAGTATCTCACCTTCAAGCCTTAAAATCCTTCCAAAGGATTACTGAATGCTGCGTGTCACTAGAGGGTAAACAGACATTATTATTTTATGTGTGCATATCCACACAGGTTTTCATCCTATAGTCTCCAGCCCTGTCTTACAGAGAAAACAAATACCTGCCCAGACTTTTCATTAAAACAAAGCAATGGAAAATATTTGTTCCTGACTTCTATTTCTCAGGTAATTCAGCAGCTGTGCCTCCAAGGTATTCGGGGGTCTTGGCCTACGCAAAACTTACAGCCAGCTGGAAATGACAGGCATTTCCTTGTACGCTGCCTTCCCAGGAATGTTTTCCCTAAGAAAAGGGAGGGAGTCAATGGACAAGGTCATAGAATGACTGGCTAGATTCTTAGGTTTCTGCAGCTTTGTGACATTGAAAACCAATGTGCCAATTATAACTCAGCTTAGGTTTATTTGCATGACTCCTGCTCTAAGCAAAAGCCAACAATTCAGGTGAAGGCAACTGAAGAATGTTGTTCACTTAGTTCTCTCATTTCTACTAGGACTTCATACTTGTTCTCTTGTCCTAAGTTAGGACTGGAAAGTACACTGAGAAATGCAGCATTAGAGCATAGTCCTCAATTGGTTGTAAAATCCAACCACTGGGAAAATGCCTACTCAACCCAGCCCCAAGGAAACCCAATAAAAACCAGGGCAAGCGTATCATAAAAACCAGGACTGTGGCACAGCTGGCTGGGAGTCAGCTGCATTAAGATCACTACTGACCAAAAGGTCATGAGTTCGAAGCCAGCCCGGGTTGGAGTGAGCTACTGACCAATTTGTGTAGCTTACTGTTGATCTTTGCAGCCCGAGAGACAGTTGCATTTGTCAAGGTACCGCGTAAGTGGGGAGCCTAATTTAGCTAATTTACGACGCCATAAAAATCTCTAGCAAGCATGCAAAGAATGAGGAAGTACTTCATCAGTGTCACAAATGGACGGTGAAGTGACAGCTCCCCTGGTGGCCAGAATACCCTCATCAAAAGCTGGAATGTTAAGTAGCCTCTATGTGTCTCTGTGTGTATGTGTGTGTGTGTGTGTTTATATATATGTGTGTGTGTGTGTGTGTGTGTGTGTGTTGTGTGTCTATGGCATTGAATGTTTGCCATGCATATGTATATTGTAATTCGCCCTGAGTCCCCTGCGGGGTGAAAAGGGAGGAATATAAATACTGTAAATAAATAAATAAAGTATAAAGCATTGTGGAACAGGTGCATGTAATATCAAAAGGAGGTACAGGAAACTCATAGCACCTTTAACATCAACTGTGGGGAGATTTTGGGGAGTACAGCCCAATTCATTAGATGAATCTTCCCAGCAGTAAGACCCCAAACCAACTTGGGGTCACACCTGATGTCTTTTTATGTTAAGACTAACCCAGTTATCTCTTTGAATAGTATCATAACAAGATGCCATAACCTAGAAGTATTGGTAATGTAGTCGTAACACAGAACGAACAACAATGGTAAGTGCATTACTTCTGGACTAATGCTATTACTAACTGCAATTATTTTTGAAAAACAAACATAATGAATGATAATAGTGTTGTAATTTTGGGTGGGGCACAATAAGTAATGTTGACCCTTACCCCTAAATTTTATTTGGGAGGTTCAGTTAGGGACTTCCTTTGGCCTTTTTAAATATAAGGGAGCAGAAAAAATAAAACAAAGGCAACCAAAAAGAAGCACGACAATACAGAGAATAATTAGTTATCCTTATCATAACTAAGTAACTTCGTAAGGGTAATTAGTCGTCCCTACTATAACCAAGTAATTTTCTAAGCAACTACATTGAAGCCAATAGATGCTCTTGCAAATAGCATTAACTTAGAAATCAAACAGGAAATTAATTAAGATAAAGAAGGTAAGGGCAAAGCAGAGGAGCAAAGAAAGGAAGTTGAACTTTTCGAAGCAGCTGGAAAGTGGAAGAGATAAGGAAGGGTGAGATAAGGAAGTGGGAAGGGGAAAGCAGAGGTATTTAATAAGGAAACAATGGGAACGAGAAGCTACACAAAATAAACACATGGTAAAAAGGTGAGAGACTTGCGAAGGTAGAATTTGCATTTGTCAGCCAAATCAATTATCACATATAGATTGACACAGTTCTCATCATGCTTACAAGGAGAGAGAACAATAGTGGGAAGGACCCTTCACAGAACTTGTAAGGAATGGACCATATATACTAGATGATATTAAGGTTCTGAGTTAACGCTGTACCATAGCAATTCCTTATGCGGAGCTCTTGAGATTTTTAGACTATGTGTGTCTTTGAGATTTCCAGTATCTCAACCTTAGGCTGATAGAAGTTGAAGTTCAAAAATCAGTAGGATGTCGAGTTGGTAAAGGTTGAAAAGAGCCTTCAGCTGGTCAAGTCCACTTCACTCCCACTTAAATATATTTTTTCTCCTAAAACCCTTTGCCACTGTATCTATTGCATAAACCTAACGGTAACCAAATTATATTTGATCTGCAACTTTATATCTCATGAACCATGAAATTCTAACAAGTGAAATACATCCACAGACAGAAGGAGTGCTACACAGAGATGGAGCGACAGGAAACACAATAGGTCATTAGCATGACAATGCACACAACACAGCCTCCAGACAATGTGAGATAGAAATCAGGTACTGAAACTGATTAAGCAGAACTCTTTTGGGGATGGTCCATCCATGAAGTGCAATTTCACTTCATTAGTTGCACTCCATTTCCTGCTGTATGTAAGCAAACGCAGGTAATAAACACAAACACACACATTGCCAAGACTACAAATTCTTATTTGTCAAGAAGACCACAAATACTAGGTAGCTGCTGTAATGTTTTTCTGTGTCACAATGCAATACACAATCTCCTCAAATTATCTTTATACTTTTGTGACAGCATGATATTTATTTTCAATAGCAGTCTTGGTATGATTCAAGCCCACTGTCTAAACGCTTCCAGTTACTTTCACAAACATTTCAACAGAAAAGGCAGAGTAAGACACGCAATTATTTTTGGCACATTTTTCTGCAGATGTCTATTCAGATGTATGCAAAGATAACCTTATGAAATTCTTATGGTCAAGTCCTCATATACAGAATGGAGCACCTATACATTATTTGGGGCTGGGAGAGGGAGGAAAGGATGAAATCTGGTGGCTACTGCTTCACATGTCATTTTTATTCGTGCCTAAAAGAAACATCTTTATTGAATTTCATCTTTTCTACAGTACTATAGTGTCCTGAATTTAAAACTGGGCTGTTGTGCAGCTAGTTAGTAGCCAGTTGCATTAAATCACCACTGACCAAGAAGTCATGAGTTCGAAGCCAGCCTGGGTTGGAATAAGCTCCTGACCATTAATAGTCCAGCTTGCTGTTGACCTATGCAGCCCAAAAGACAGTTGGGCTGCATAGTCAAGTAGGAAATGTAGGTACCGTTTTATGTAGGAAGGCTAATTTAACTAATTTACAATACCATAAAACCTTCCAGCAGCATGCAGAAGAATGAGGAAGTACTCCATCAAAGTACCCGATGTTACAAGTGGACAGTGAACCGGCAGCTCCCCCTGTGGCTGAAACTGAGCATACCCTCATGAAGCCATAAAAGCTGGAATGTTAAATTGCCTCTGTTTCTGTCTATATATATGCTGTATGTCTAAATGGCATTGAATAAATAAATAAATGTTAAATTTTGCAAACACAAATGCAAATATGAAAAAATCAATATTTGTCACAATCTATTTAAACCTCACAGAAATGAAAATATCACCAAAAAGACTGTAGATTCCATAGAACTGACTTTCTCTTTCTCTCTATCTCAGAAAAGCAAGTTAGCTTAACCAAGATTCATCTAGTCTAACATCCATTCCAGGTTCTCTGTGTCCTTAACAACTTTGCTAGACAGCCATCTAATATTCATACTAATGCAAGAAAAACTAAAATGTGAAAATGTAAAAAGTCCTTTTTTTGTTAACTCTATAGAGGTCGTGATTCAAAAGTAGTCAGTGTATCTGCAATGTAGTCAATCTAGTTTTGAATCCAATTGAACAACACAAACAGAACTTCCATTTTTAGCTGATCCCAAAGAGTATTGCTATTTTTCCACTACAACTAAATTGCCCTTTGAAGTTTCTCTCAAGAATAAATGCATTTAGGAATATATTTGCCCAAATGCATGATCCAAAGAACTAATTCAAAACAAACTCTGAAAATGAGTCAATCTCTTCTGCATGAGGATACGATTATTACATATCTTATACACTCTGGAGTAGCTCTTTCAAGTCCCCATAAATATAGGTCTAAATCTAATTGTCTGTTACATCAATTGTCTGTTACATCAATGTCAGCTTAGCAAGTCAACAATTGTGTATGTTTCATTTATTTTGTGGGTGAATTCCATTTGGAGCTGGGCATAATGTGCTAACTGAACACTGGCAAGATTGCAACTGTCTTTAAGTTTTCTGAAGAACTAAAGTAAATGTTGGAAGTCTTGCCAATATAGCACCTTGGCCAGAAATTTAAGAGCAAAACAATAGTGCAAGCAGTCTCCCACTTTCCCAGGTTTGCAGGATTAGAGCCACTAAGTAATTCTCAGGAGCCCCCGGTAGCGCAATGGATTAAACCCTTGTGCTAGCAGGACTGCTGACCGAAAGGTTGGCAGTTCGAATCCAGAGAGCGGGGTGAGCTCCTGTTTGTCAGCTCCAGCTTCTCATGCAGGGACATGAGAGAAGCCTCCCACAAAATGATAAAACATCCGGGTGTCACTTGGGCAATGTTTTTGCAGATGGCCAATTCTCTTACACCAGAAGAGCCCTTCTCAGAATTTGTTGTGCAATTGATACTGCCATTTCTCCATGTAAACCAGTGGTGGCTCACATTTGGTCTTCCAAGTGTTTTGGACTTCAGCCCCCAGAATTCCTGAGCATTATTACAGAAGCTGGCCATGACTTCTGGGAGTCCCAAACACCTGGAGGACCAAAGGTTGGACCACCATTGATGTAAACAATGTTGTTCTTTCAGGAATCCTGCCTTGACATGGAACACAAAGCATCAAAAGAAGTGAGAACTTAAGGGCAGCTCCTACAATTACTAATCAAATGAGATCATATAGCAAGTCCTTCTTTTCCTCTTTAAGATACTCTTTTGTGGGAAGGAAAGTAGAAGAAGCAAGAAGTGGGGTTACAACTTCACCTGTATATCCATAAAATTCCGTGAGTGAAGCAAAACACATACAGTAAAAGCTCCATCTAGAAGAACTCTGACTATCTCTAAGTGGTGTCCTTAATGTGTTCATTGCACTTGAACTATCTGTAGCATATACAGCTTGTAGACAGTTTTCAAACAAAATCAAATACATAAAATACAGATGAGTTCCAGTGAAGCTCAGATGGATTAACTAGACCATGCATATAAGAACTATCTTCTATTTTTTTAAAAAGTTATGTAAGAATCCCTACACATGTTTCATTCCATCTCCAAATCTGTGACCCACTCAGGTGGTCATGTCCTGTGACAATTTGTTCTGACAGCAATTGCAACAAAGACAAGGAGAGGCATTTTTCTCTTACCTTTCTGGTAAGTGGCACTTCAATAGGAACAGGGACAACTTCTGCAAGTAAGCAGCCATAAAATGCTACCATAAAAGCAGCAGGGTCATTGTTGGGGAATACTAGCGCTACCTATAAAACAACAGGAGGGAAAACGATTAAGTACAGTCTCAGAACATATTTTCCTACTTTTGGCTAATGCACAAGAAAAATTTCATGTCTGGGAAACACAACAATTTCAACTGGATATGTTAGATTTTCAGAGAAAGTAAGTCACACCAGAGACATTGACATCAGAAACAAGGAGCAATGAGATTTTATAAAAGCAAGCTACACTTAACAAGAAGCTATTGTATCTTTGACTTATGAAAGATGTACTGCTGATGTCAACTATCCTAGTAGGCTTTCACACAGTTAATACCTGAAGACAGGTGGCCCTAATGGCAATGGAATAGTGAATTGATTCTGTGTTTTAGTACAAATTTTAAAACAGTTGTGTTGTCGAAGACTTTCAAGGCCAGAATCACTGGGTTGCTGTGAGTTACCTGGACTGTGTGGCCATGTTTAAAAGAGTTGTCCAAGTTCAAACTGAATTTAGAGTTGCTTAATTAGCACACTAACATGAGAGCAAACATTCAAACGTTAATGAATAATAATGGAAGATTAAACAAAAATATACACATCCACATGTCATAGCTACTTCCTCTAAGTAAGTAACAGTAGCATATGTCCAATTTTAACTTAATCAGACTGTAACCACACATGGTTTAAACTATTAATAGTGTAAGCACTGTGTTTTTAATCACTTGCTAAAGGTCACATTGATAAACTATTTAGCCACAGCCTTCCTACAACTACAAGAGGGCTCTCTCGGGTATATGGGATTGTGTGTGTGCTTCTCTGTGTGCCCACAAAATTACATTTCTGTATCAAGTTTATGTACATGAACAAAGGAGAACATTAAGGGAGTTATCCCAATTATAATTTTGTTTCACCTTACTGCCTTCACTCGATAAAAAAAAACATGTAGCAGAAAGCCATTTCTCTTGTCAAACTTAGAAGCTATGCAATTAATTTCCCCTCCCATTCCAGTGCTACATTTCACTCCAATATTTTAAATTATATTTTTCTATCAGCATATATAAAAGGAAATAAGTGTTATGTAGCACTGATATATGCCTCAGTCATACACACACAGGAAGCTGTTTCATACTGGTCCATCTACTACTGTCAGTTCTGGCCAGCAACTGCTCTCCAAAGTTTCAGGCATGATTCATTCCTAATCTTATCTAGTTAAATCAGGCATGGAGAAACTTCAGCCCTCCAGGTGTCCCACAAGTCCTAATGCTGCAGTGGTTCTCAACTTGTGAGTCCTCAGATGTTTCGTCCTCCAAGAAATCCTAACAGATGGTAAACTGGCTGGGATTTCCAGGAGTTGTGGGCCAAAACACCTGGGGACACACAGGTTGAAAACCACAGCCTAACAGGCTGTTAGGAAATGTGAAAGTTGAAGTCCAAAGCATCTGGAAGGCCAAAGTTTGCCTATGCCTGGATTAGATCCAATGGGTTCCCTGATTGTTTCCCATTCAGGAATCTTCCAGCCATAATGCTGCTCACCTTTCAAAATCCAACAGGGTAGCATTCAGGGTACGTAGCATGGTCACTTTCCAGATTCTCTTTAAGGATTGCTTCTAAATCTATATTTTTCTAGAATTGTCTTTATGTTTGTATGTATTTATTTAATGTGTTCTTCTACTTTAGTCAACTTCTACTCATACAATCTCACATTAAATGAACAGATTGCAATTGTTTTCTGACAATGACTTGTGAAAAAAGGCTCTCATAATGGCTGCCCATAATTTTGGTATTCCATTCTCGGTGATTTTCTTTCTTTTCCCCCCACAAAACTTGCACCCCTCCCTACATTCTTCAAGACTACCCTTCTGGAGGTCACAGCTACTTTTTTCTCATTGGACTGCTGTTATAATTTGGCTGCTGGTAGCACCCATTATATATGTAAGGCCATATATGGAGACACCTACATGGACTACCTTGATTAGTATGATATTATTGCCTTTAAAACAGAAGGGAGACAAGAGAAATGAAGGAAATTAATTGTGTGTGTGTGTGTGTGTGTGTGTGTGTGTGTGTATGGGGGAGGGGGGGCTTTTTGAAATCCGGTAAGATTTATCTCCTCTGAAAAATTCTGGATCTTAATGTTTTGGTATATAACTGCATGTCATAACCTGGCTTTCACCCTCAGGATACAGTGAAGTACGTAACTGTTCCAAAAGTAATTTCAAGAAAAAGATTCACTGCTATACACAGTAATTTGAGGGAAGGCAAAGGCAGGCAGGATGTGCAGGGAAGAAACCTCTAGCTGTGCTGTCATCTTCCTGGTTTCTCTTGACTTATTTACTCTGCGGAGGGCTTCAGCCCACTATGGCTATGACTTAGAGACTTAAACACAGTCATAAATCAAGAGGAAAGATTCTGGAGACTTGTTTTGGCGAAATGCCAAAGCAGACAGTGATTTAAATTAAACATCTGTCTGCAGTCTCTTTAGTTTTATTCTTCAGGATTACTTATGAAAACAAAAAAATGCAGAAAATTGCATCTTTTCTGAAGGGCCTGTACCGACATCATCCAGTCCCTTTGGGCAGCATTCTAAAGTTGAGAAGCTTTAAGATGAAAGAGGGAGAAATACTCCACAGCAATACCCTTCTGGTAAAGGCATAGGCTGCAATGGCTCCCAACCTTTGGTCATCCAGCTATTTGGAACTTGAACTCCCAGGAGAATCAAAGGTTGGGAACCACTAACATGGAGGATCCTGTTGGAAGGGCCTATTGTGGGGAGGCTGAACCAGTGGGTATTAGAAGACTCTGAAGAACTTAGTCTAATCCTCCTCCACATTCATTAACTCAGAATGGCTCGTTTTGCACTTGCCCAAGATCCTTCATCACCTGTATGCAAACTTTGTTCAATGGAGGCATTCAAGGAATGCACATTCATCAGACCAGACTTCTTTAAAGCTGTGAGACTGGTAGAAATTTAGGACATTGTTTATAGCTACTTATCTGCATTTATGCTGGGCTATTATTATTGTTTTATCTATCTTATAGTTCACTTCAAACTTTCAGCAAAAGGGACTTCAAAATGATGCACATTCTGTAACACAGTGTACATTTTTTTAACCATCAACAGAGACATTTCTGTCCAGAGTTATCAGTATTCTTATGCAAATTCACACAGAAACAACAGCTGTTTGAAGACTTGGACATCTTATGAGCTAGAAGTAAGATCAGACTGATTCTAAGAGAACATATTTGCATATTTGGCTCTAGGCGTAACAGGGCAGCATCCTAAAGCAATCAGGAAAAACCATTGATATCATCATAGAGAAAATGTTTCTCAGGGCCATTTTCCAACAGAATTCCTACCCTACTTTGAATTTCTTTGAATGTCTATTCAAGCAGTCGTGACCGGGTTGGGAGGCAAGACCGAGGCCTGCCCCCCTCCATGGAAGGGGGCTACCCACCCCCCTATTGTTTTGCATCACGGTGGTCTATGGTATATAAAAGATGGATAAGAGTGTGAAAAGGAAGAAATTACAAAGAGTCTAATTTGGTCCAAATCTAATACTGGCATAGGAATAGGCTGTTTGTGGACAGAATACTCCAAGTACAACAAAAAGAGGGGGATTGCAACCCATGGTGGAGATGGCACATATAGTTACTGTATACTTAGGGTACAGATATCTATATAACAGAGTACATAGGAAATAGTACCTATGTACATAACTAATCAAGATCTGGGCAGCGGAAAATGGATAATGAAAGAGATCAGAGAGTCTAAGTGGACAGTGGGGATGAAGTGAGAAAAGGTCAAGTTGGCAATGAAGCTACACCAAGAGGGAGACCATCATCTTGATGGATTCGGGTCACAATGGTGCAGGTGCAGTGAAGAGACATTGAAGCGAAAGAATCAAGCCTTTTTTTTTACATGGTAACCTTGAAGGACATATATCGAAACCTGATCATACAAATCTTTAGAAATACGTAAACAAAAATATACAGGCTTTTATAATAAGTCGCTATTAAAAATGGCCACTGCTGTTCCCCTACAAAGAAGCTTATGCTCGGCACCCTTATTAAAAATGGCTGCTGCCACTCTGTTCCGCCTCAGGTGCCCAATGTGACTGTTCTATGTTGCTGCTGAACTCCATTCAGGGCAAAATAGAAGACAAGGGAAGAAGCAAGGAGAGAGGGGTGCCTTTCTTTCTCCAGTTTGGATATAGGATGGGTAATGGAGTGGGTTTTCTTGCCTCTACCTTTTCTTACTCCCTATTCTAGCATTAACCTGTGTACAAGTTGATCCAGGTTTTTGAGGGTTATTTTTGCAATATTTTTGTCATTTAAACACAAAAATATATGGCATATATTAAAAGATGGAAATTAAGAAATTCCTGGTGAGTGTTTTGAAGGGAAATATTGTTGGAGTGTATACTGCCTTCACTTCAGGCTGAAAGAAAATATGTTCAAAGGACAAGAGTTTCCCAACCACTATAGTTTCAGTGGTTCGACTGTATCTCACCTCATCACTGTTGGACTGAGATGAGATCATGAGGAAGAACATGCACAAAAACACCTTCATTAAAGAACACTTTCTGGACCCACTCAAAATTGTTATGATCTTATGCCAAGTCTCCCAACTTTCAAGTATTAAAAAAATCTAGTTATCCTGAGCATTTTATTAATTAGCTGGCAATATTCATAGGTTCAAACCTAGTAGTCTCTCCAAACAAGGCCTTCATTGTCTCTGGGGTCTCCCTGAACACAAAGAGGACACACAGACTCTATAAAAATTAATTTCATCCACATGACATATACCATAATGGTTTGTATATAAGGAGTCCTTTGTGAGATAAAGTACATTTTTTATAACCGAGGAAAATATAATTTCATCAAAAAGTAGGCTATTGCTGTAAATTTTCTGTAGTTTGCTAACCAATTTATTGAAGTTAGTTTGTATTATGACATAATCATTCAGTATTCCAAATGAACACAAGTGAGGTATAGTTGGTCCTCTACATTTGCTGGGGTTAGGGACACAGTAAAAGTGTAAATCTGTGAATAAAAATGTTGCTATTTGTTACATGCAAGAACATGTCTAGGAATTTCTAGGCCCTCTAGCATGTCGGCATGCTCAACTTCTGCTGCAAGCTAACCACAGAATTGCACTGGCGGACCTTCAGTGTCCTACAGAGAACATTTTAATGAAATCCATGACAAATCAAATTACAAAGGTCAAACCCGCAAATGTGATTGTTTGACTGTACTACAAAGGCTCTAAATGAAAGTGTAGGCACTTACCCTGTCTCCTGGTCGCACCATAGGTTCTTGCTTTGTGCCCAATTTATGCAGTATATTGTAAGCAACCTTCATACTGCGAGTCCAGAGTTTGCCTATAGACAAAAAACCAGTGTAAACATTATAATTAAAATGGATTATACTGTTTTAAGCCCAAGTGAGTCAAAATACAGCTCATTCTCATCACATAGAATCAAAAAGCTTTACTGTGCTCCAGAATCTGAGACCCTGATATACCATAAACTTCATATTCATTTACATTCAGATTCACATATCTTACAAAACAGGAATGGTTTAACCGTGATACTTGATATACTATAGGATCGGTCCTTACTGTTAGAATAGAGACCCTATCATGCACTGTATTGCAGCAAAATTGTATTGTGTGCTTGTATTGATCAACTTTTCTCAATCAACTCTCAACAAATCAGAAGATACTGTTGGTTGAGTATGAAAGGCATTGCCAAACACAGCATACTAAGCACCTAGCAGACCTAGCATAGCTCATAGGCCATGTATTTTGAAGGTTTATGGACAAAAGCAAAAGATGGCATGTCTGTCCTAAACCCATATAAGTCCCATGTAAGTTTGAAAGAAAACTGATTTCTAAAAAATATGTATGACTATAACCCACTGAATCATTGCAACTTGATTACATTTACAACTGTAAAATTATTTATTATATACTAGCTGTCCCCTGCCACGCGTTGCTGTGGCCCAGTCTGGTGATCTGGAAAATAAAGTAATGAGAAAGTGTTGATTTCTAATATATGTAATTCCTTTATGCTTGTGAGTAAACAGTATTTCTTGTTGTTTCTTTGTCAGTGTTGATGTGGAGAGTATGGCAGTGAAACTGAGAGAAGTGTGCAAGTGTTGCCCTGCTAGCCCAAGTGAATTGGTTCACTTTTGATATATCTCACAAACTGATTGTTTTGTGTTGTTTTAATATTGGCAAGCATTCATCATGTGTACTTCTGCAGGGCACTGTTCACGTTCAAGTTCTATTGAAAATTATGCAAAGTCATGGCTTGATACGGAGGAAGATTTGACTACAATCAAGCTATCAATCACCTCCATTATAGATCAGTATCATTAAACATACCAAGAAAGATCATATAGGCATAAATGTTCCCCACAAAAGGTAAAACCTTCTTTCTATCGAGCTGTGATTGTTTTGTCAAGCCTTTCCTTTCAATATGAAATCTTTTCCTGTGAGCAGTTAACTAAGGGACACTTAACAATAAATAAATACACAAATAAATAATACTTTCTCAAGCAGAATTTAGGGGAAAAATAAAAGAAAGGCACTTCAAAATCCTTGTCAATTGAACTCAGTTAAAAACGTAGGGAGTGATACAGCAAGAGAAGAGAGAAATATCTTTGAGGAGAGACCATCAGAGGAGAGACACATCTCTTTGCACAAAACACATTTGACAGAAATACAAAGGATTGAGAGTGTTGATACAGAACCAAATTGGTAGTTCTGGTAGTCATGTAATCTTGTAACTTCTTATAGAAATGACTAAGAGAAGGGATTTAATCTAGCTATGTGCCCAACATGCTGTTGTTATACAGAAGGGGAATGAGTGATGTATCATGTCAAAGGGTCCCATTAGCATGTTAACAAAACATTCTTTCCAAATATGTAGATTGGCTAACATTCCCCAACTGGTCTAATTTCTCCACTGAGTACAAAGGACTTACTCCCATATGAGTGCAAATATATTGTTGCAGGTTGACTTTAATGCGATTTTGATTCCCATTTCAACATTGTGATTGATGTTTCTCTTACATGAATCAATCAAACCTAGCATGTTATGATTTACCAACAATGATTAAGTGTGAAAAACCTAAGTTTTACTCTTTGCAATATTTATTTCAATTTCAGAGAGCAGCAAAAAGACCAATCCTAAAGGTGAACACTTAAATATCTAAAGGAGTGTACTGAATTATATATATCTGTATGTAAGTTGACATCCTGCATATATGGAGGGCTGGTATTGGGGCCCAAATTATGGATTTTGATATGACCCATGCATAACCTGGGAGTCATTCTGTGGAGAGGAGAATGCACCAGTGGCACCTAGCCACTCCTGGCTTCCGGCATCATTTCTCCACAATGCATGTGAAAGTGGCACCAAGATTGAGAGAGTAGAGGAAAACGATGTTTTTCAAATGTCCTCTCAGGACAGACTAAGCTGTTGCCTTTTGTCACTCTACTCAGAGAAGGGGCTAATTCCTCTTTCATGGGAGCGAAGGTAGTCACATTGACTGGTAGAAAACTAAAGGTTTTATTGGGTAGATTTTTTTTACTAATGTGTCCAGAGGAGGGCGACTAAAATGATCAAGAGTCTGGAGAACAAGTCCTTAAAGAGCTGGGCATGTTTAGTCTGCAGAAGAAAAGACTGAGAGGAGACATGATCGGAGCCATATCTAAATATGTGAGGGGAAGTCATAGGGAGGAGGGAGCAAGCTTGTTTTCTGCTGCCCTGAAGTCTAGGAGACAGAACAATGGTTTCAAATTGCAGGAAAGAAGATTCCGCCTGAACATGAGGAAGAACTTCCTGACTGTGAGAGCTGTTCAGCAGTGGAACTCTGCCCCGGAGTGTAGTGGAGGCTCCTTCTTTGGAGGCTTTTAAACAGAGGCTGAATGGCCATCTGACAGGGGTGCTTTGAATGCAATTTTCATGCTTCTTGGCAGGGGGTTGGACTGGATGGCCCACAAGGTCTCTTCCAACTCTATGATTCTATGGGTATATTGGGTACTTATAAGCAAATTCTATTTAAGATAAACAGGACTAACCTCTATCAAAGGGTATTTTGAGTGATATGTGCCTGAAACCTTCCTTTTGGAGAAAAAAAATCTTCACTCCTTCACCAGTATTTTATCACAAATGTGTTAAGTATAAAGATTGTCCAAATAAAGCTTGTGGCAGAGAGAAAAGAAAACTGCAAGAAACAGTCTTCCTATTCTTTATAGTAGGACTGCTATAGATCACCACACAGCATCAAAGCCACAGCAAGCAAGAATAGTCTTACCAAACCTAGGCATGGTAGTTCGGAGTTTGCCCAAAGGCAGCTGCAAATAATTGTATTACATTATACTTTAAAAGTTGATAAGAAAACAAATAGACTGTGTTATAGTGCTCTTAAAGTGAAGGCCTATTTTTCCAGGTTTTTTTTATAGCTCAGAGTTTCTCAAATTGTGCTCCTCCAGATGTTTTGGACTTCAGCTCCCACAATTCCTAACAGCTGGTAAACTGGCTGGGATTTCTGGGAGCTGAAGTCCAAAACACCCGGAGGAGCAAAATTTGCAAATCACTGTTTTAGAAAATGGCCAGGTAAAATGAAGAACGGGGAGGAGGACAACAACTTATTGGGTGTACAAATTCCATAAATGCCCAAACAGCATGGCCAGCGACTATGATGCCTGTATAATTCTGAGATTTGTAACCCAATGAAGTAATTCTTCCAAGGCCTAGTTAGGAAGCACCCAGGAAAATGGTACGGAAGAGGATCATGGCAAGCATGAGAAATATAGTCTGGTTTACTCCATTCCACTACAATATAGCTGTACTAAGCCTCCACAGCAGCCTGTGCAGAAAGTAACAGCACAAGCTGCCAAATAGTCCTGGAGATGTGTGCTTTTTAACAGAAAATACAACATACATTTGAATAAAAGCACCAGGAATGGAGCAACAGACACATTACATCGCACAATACACGTACAATAACATTATGTAATAAATATATATTGCATAAACGGCTGTTTACAAACTCTTGGGGTTCATGGCAATCCTATGAAATGTTATATTCTTGATATTCTGCATGTAGCTTAAAAACATAGTAAGTGGCTGCAAAATAATCTTGCATTTAGAGAGAGAAAATAAACATAAGAAGGATAGTTGTTTTTTGGAGCTTCTTCATACCAAATCAAAGTAATATTCCACACTAGTGCGGCCAACTCTAATCGTCAAAAGCTGCCCATCTCACTGAGAGAGCGATCATTCACATTACTGTGACCAACGAAGGTGTAAAGGGAGATTTGTAGCTGAACATGAGGTTTTATGCATTCTAAGCATGCAGCCACCCATGGAGTTACATCCCCTCCAATAAGCTAAAAACCTAAGGAATACTGAAATATCAGATTGTGAAATAACTGGAGAGGAAACACATTTCCTGAGATCTGTTTTAATTCAGTTAAAAAATAAAGTGACAAAGAAGTTGAAAAAGTTGCTGACCGTAAGTGAGAATATATAGTGGTTTTCCATTGGTATCCATAGTGGTTAGGCAAGGAGCTTTTGGGGAAATGGTGCCCCATCGTTGCAAAGCGGCTTCAAGAGATGGAGGCCAATTCGTAACCACGCCCAGTTGTTCCCCACGCATCGCCAGCATCTGAGCTCCCTCTGGCTTTGGTTGGTTTGGGTCTGGCTGTTGAACTTACAGGTGTAAGAGAGTGTTACTTCACGAAGTTTACACCAGGATTCACTATACATACAGAGAATTAAGACATTTACTTTTGAAAAGTCACCAGAGAACAACAGAAACATTAGATAGTACAGCCTACAGAGAAACCTCTGGTCTTGTTCAGACATCACAGCAAAAACAAGGACTGACACTTGGGAGCCTGCTATGAGCTCACTTCTTCACCCAATCAAACCAATTCTCTCCTCCACTTTTTGATCAATGGTAATCATGGGACTTCATCCTATGCAGACTTTGCATTGTTTTTCTGTGCTGCCGAAATGGAGACCCACGGAGGCAATCACATGATGTTATACCACTTCCAATGGTTGCTTATGGGACACCATTGCATATTCTGGAGTCAGGTGTTACTTGACTGCCAACGACAGAAGACAAACTGAAGCTGGGAAAGGTGGGATGGTTGCCATCTCTGAATACAGAAAGGCATGGGACCTCAAAGTTAGGATACAAAACAAGATGGTTCCCTCTGCTTTTCCCTTCTTTTCCTCCCCCCATGAATGAAGACCATGGTCTTCCCAATTCAATGGCCAAATCAATGCATAACAGATTCCCTGGTAAAAATGTCCTGTAGGTCAAGCTCTTTGGTAACATGAGCAGCTATGATGAGGCACAATCAATATTGTCATGAGACAAGAGTTCTGTGGCCAATTTAGATAATAGACTTTGAAAAGTGGAAACTGGCAGATTGCACATGCTACATGGCCTGTCTATTATGCTGTCAGCTAGTCTACTTCACAGGTTAGTGGAAGATTCTGCCCTATTTCCAAGGTTGAAAATAATATCAAGTTTTTTCATTACAAATGTGGCACAATTATATGGAATAGTGAGTGGAGTCATCTTGCCCTTTCGAGCATAACAAATGATTTGATTCTTAGACATTTCGATGCTAGAGGTTCTTGAGAATGTAGTTCACCGTGGGTAAAATAATGGATCCGTATATTACCCTTTTTCTCAATCAGCAGTGGGAAGGCTTAAGGTATTTATTATGTTGAGAACAGACAAGGCATGTATTACATGTGCCAGATCATGGGTGTTTGTTTATGACATCCTGATGCAACATCAAATAGGAACCCATATGTGTGACTGGACCATCATGGAACACTAGAGTTCAAAGTTATGTGTCATCTGAGACACAATGCTTCACAATGAAACTGATTCAGGTAATTTGCTGAAACAAACTGATATACAATACATGTCTCAAATAACTCCATTCCAGTTTTTATATTTGTTTCACTTGTCTTGTTCTACCATGCCACCATGTTATTCTTTTCTTAAATTAGTGGAGCCCATTACTGTCAAGACATTGACAAAACAAACTAGTTGGCTAAACGTTAGTGATTTTACATAATCAAAACCTGAGCTTTCTTGTTGTGGAACAATAATTCTACAAAAAGAAATCAAAAGATGTGGAGGAAGGCCAAACTTTTCTACCTTCTAACAATTCTTCAAAGTCATCTACAAAAAACTCTCGTAACGGTGGTCGTTTGGGTCGTTTTAGGGTGTTGACCAGTTGCTGAATTTTTGCTGACACTCTGCTACTTACTGGAACCCCTGCATGAAAGAAATTAAAAGAAATCTTAAAGCAGTAGGTACACAAACGCAATGCAAGCAAAGGAGGAATGCACATCACACTGAAGGAAAGTTCAGACAGCCATATCCGAGGCTGGTTCTACACTGGCCATATAATGCAGTTCAATGCAACTGAAGCTGCATTATATTGTAGGTGTAGAACCAGCCTGGGACAACTTATTACCTTGTGAACAGATACTATATTCCAATGGCATGCCGTGCCTCTGTCCAAGATGTCCAAAAACTTTCAGTGGGTTATTGTCCTACACCTGAAAATTGTTGGCCATGGATAACGTGCAAGGAAAAATTTCAAATCCCACCCCAAGCACATTTTTAGCAACCAAGTATTTGTAAGTAATTCTTTTTTCTGATAATGCCATTTCATTCTAACTAAGGAACAATTTTACCCCCTTTACAGTAAAACTACAACTTTTAATGGACTGTTATAGTTCTAGGGAGGAGCCCCTGGTTGCTCAGCAGGTTAAACCACTGAGCTGCTGAACTTGCTGACTGAAAGGTTGGCGGTTCGAATTTGGGGAGTGGGGTGAGCTCCTGCTGTTAGACACAGCTTCTGCCAACCTAGCAGTTTGAAAACATGCAAATGTGAGGAGATCAATAGGTACTGCTTTGGTGGGAAGGTAACAGCACTTCATGCAGTCATGCTGGCCACATGATCTAGGAGGCGTCTACGGACAACGCCTGCGCTTCAGCTTAGAAATGGAGATGAGTACCACCCTGACTAGACTTAACGTCAAGGGGAAACCTTTACCTTTACCTTATAGTTCTAGGGTATGGTTTCATTACATAGTGAAGAAAGAAAATCTAACACCTCAAATTCTGTTTCATATTTTGTCATGGATATTGAAACAATGATGTGGAAGACACATTTTGTACTACAGGCTGGCAGAATGTAGCAATTGGGTGTGCTTTTTAAAAAATCACTAACTAAAGGTAATTACTCTAGAGATCATGTTGAGGAAAGGAAAGTAAAGATTTACTTTTAAAAACTAATTTTGGGAGATGAGGCTTGGGACTACAAGTTAATCAAATCACATTTTAGAAGTAATTTTCCAAGCTGGCACTTTCACATCTTGTACGTGCTGGTTACTGATGATAACAATGCTTGGCAAGGTGGCAGGCAGTAGGGAAAAAAGGAAGACTACATTATAGATGGACACACTCAATTAAAGTCATGGCACTGAGTCTGCAAGATCTGAGTGAGGATGTTGATGGCAAGGTGACTTGGGAGTTTCATAAGTTGAAGCCAACTTGCTGGCAGTTAACATCAAAACCCCTTTTTGCTACTGAATTCTTCCACTTCTCTGATCTTCCCCTTTCCAAAGTATTTAAACCTGAGCCAAGCACCCGTCCTACTCACTTCTTCTCTTGCCCGCTCTCATCTCCTTGGTATAAGTGTGAACTCTTACATTTTCAATTTTGCACTCATTTTGTACGTGCACCTGACAGGACATGAGTACGCCTGATACACAGCCCATATGGCCAAACATTCCATCTTGCATTCCTCCACTATTTTAAAAGACATACCATCACCAGTTTCCATAAGTTCAGCATTTCCATATTTTGGTGCCGCCCTTGACGTTGAACCTTGTGGTCTTTCTACTTGTATTGAATGTTCCGAGGTGTAAGTGGTAACATCTGGAGGTGCGGAATGGTTTTCTGCAAAATAAATGTGTGTCTCTGAATAGTTTCTTTGAGCAGCATTCTCTTACTACACAATTCCTCTGAGAAAATTAATAAATATTGTCTAATACACATATTTGCTTACTGTGGGAGCCTTCATTAAAATTTGTATAACCATAGCCTTTATTTTCAAAGAAAAAAAGTTTCATATTTCAAACTAAACCAGGCAAAAATAGTCTCACTTAAATCCCACTGCAATCAATGAAACAAGTTAGCTTTAATGGAACTTGTGGCTAGCCGCCACTAATTGTTGCAAGCCACTGACATAGAAGTATTACACAACTAATTCATACATTAGTTCTGATGTCATTTCAGCATTTAGCATATGATTTATTTACACAAAAATGTATACCGTGTTCTTCTGGTTGCCTGTACACGAGAGGGGAGAATATTGAAAATACAAATACATCACATCAGATAAATATATGCAACCAGGAGGAGTGGCTGGAGGATCCACTACCTCAGAGGTATAAATCCATTCTTGATTTTAAGGCTGCTCTTTCTGCAGTCATTCTGGGTTGAGCTGGAACATCCCCAGGACCGCTTCCATGGCCAACCCTCCTTTGGGAATCGTCCTGTATCTGGATGGCTTCCATACAATTGGAAAAGTGATGAGAAGGGCTGTTGTAAAACTAAGATTGGATTCGCTGTCCTCGGGGCAAAAGTCCCACCAGCTGCCTATGCCAACCAATATGACAATTGCTTCACCCCAGTGGTTCAAACCTTTTTTTGACCAGGGACCGCTCTCCAACACTAGTACCAAAAGGGTTACGAATCAGTTTTTGGTCAACTTTACATTTGATTTGATTTGGTTATTTGATGTGCTGATTCAGAAAATTGCACTGGATAGACCACATCAGCTCTAGTTTCTGATACAGAATATACACCACCCAGTAGTTGCCATCTGCTCGCCCACAGTAAACCATATTTAATAATCTAGAGCTGATGTCGTCTATCCAATATAATTGGAATCAGCACCCCCAAATAACCCCTGGAGCAGGCCTAAAAATGAAGATACCAAGAAAAGAAAATTGGTTGGGCTATGTTATTATCTGTGGATTTTGTTAGCGCTCATGTAAAAAAAAGAAGAAGGGGAATGGGCTGAGGTAGAAAAAAATACCAAACCCAGAGCACAAGACCCAAGAAACTGTCCCTAACAGCTTTCTGTCACCTCGTCACCATAGACGCATGGCCACAAGGAAGGGGTGATAGATTGTGGGTTGTTGCAACAGTGTAGTAACTGTGAGGCTGCGGACCATATTAAAGTTCTTGTGGATCACTAGTGTTCTGAGGACCACAGGATGGGAACCACTGTTTTACCCCAAAGATTTTGCCTTTTGGGGCAAGGGGTTTCACATTTTAGGAACTGCAACATCATTGTTCACAACAAACACCACCTTAGTGAAGTCATAGGAAAGAGAAAGGTTATTTTATTAGATTTTACATTGCAAGGCTGTGATATTCCTGGCTTACACTATAATGCATTTGTTAGATCTTTTAAAATGTCAAAAGGTCTTTGCGTGTTTTCATATTCCACCAAGTTGCATCTTACATCTAGTTGAAACATGGGGCATATATAGGTCATCAAGCAAGTTTCAATAAAACCACTAGGATAGCTATGTGCCATTCTTTGTACTGCAGACACTGTTCTACAGCTTAATTTTATTTTAAAATAAAAGCATCAAAAGCTAGATCACTATAAAAAGAGGCTTCATAACTATTCAACCAGACAGCAGACTGAAATGATTTCAGTGGACCCACAGTAGTAAGCTCACTACCTGCCTGTTTTTAGGTGTAGGTACTATTTTGATTGTTCTCAACACCATAGACAGAACTTCCAGAAGTAAGCAAGATTTGGTAAATGGCTCTGTGACGTTCCTAAACAATTCGCAAGTTAATCCTCTCTTTTCACAGTTCAGTAACCCACCATGCATTTCCAATTTAGTTTTTTCCTTTCTCAATCACTTCCCCACTTTACTCCTGCAGTATCTTTTTGAAACCTGTTTTGCTTCAGGAGGCAGGAAAGAGCACCATCTGGGTTTTAAACAAGTTCTCTATTCAGAAACCTAAGTGATCAAAAGCATAATCCATCAAGCGGGGTAGGTCTCATGCCTCTAAGCCAAACTGAAACCATTCGTAATAACTAGTATTGAGTTTAACCAAGGCAAGGACTTTCTAAAAATCTAAGTTGTGGATAGCTGAATTCAGAATTTAGAATGGGCTTCTGTGCTATACTAACTATATATATAGTATATTCATATAATATTCATATTATCATGTAATACAATATAATACTAATAATAAAACAATAATAATATTACAATATAAGGGTATAGTACAATATAGTAATATATAATACTGATATTGTGCTATACTAATAATATAATATAATATATTGTATATTCATATAATATTTATATTATAATTAACACAATATAATACTACTGCTACTAATATAATATTATAATATAATGGTATAGTACAATATAGTAAACAAAGTAAAGACTTTCTGCATATATTTCAGATTTCAATATTAATGTCAAAAATACATAGTATGATATTACATAGGAATTGTGCTACATTAGAACAGTCAAGACAAATATCACTTAAGTAAAATAAACATTAAATAAGTAATATATAATACTGATATTGTGTTATGCTAATAATATATATTGTGCGTGTGTATGCGTGTGTGTGTGTGTATGTATGTATGTATGTGTGTGTGTGTGTGTGTGTGTGTATATATATATATATATGGAGAGAGAGAGAGAGAGAGAGAGAGAGAGAGATATTGTAATATTGTAAGCCACTCTGAGTCCCCTTCAGGGTGAGAAGGGCAGCATATAAATGCCATAAATAAATAAATAAATAAATAAATAAATTCAGAATTTCAGGTTACAGAAGGAAGACAGTATTTTAAATCTATATGTGCCCATAATGCAAAGTTTAAGAAGAAGAACAATTTTATTTTTCTACCCCGGCTCCATCTCACCGAAGGGACTCGGGGCAGCTTACATGGGGCCATGCCCAAAGCAACATATAATTAAAAAACAGAATAATAAAATATCAAAACAACATAAGAACAGGGTCATCATAAGCAATAAAGCATGCATCGTAAGCAACAATATAGATATCTCTAGTGTTATTTGGGGGGGGGGAAGGGGGGGACCAATATGCAAGCTAATTAAAATATAGACTTAAAATGAAATCTAAGTTTAAGATGAAATTTTCAGTGATATTCCTTTCACATTCATTATTTTCTCTGGAAACATGTTAATTGATTAGCTAATTGCTATGAAAAACAACATCATAAACAAACATCTACATTTTACATTTTCCCCTGCTGATTTTGCCTCTTAAAGTCATGCTTTAGGGGCTTCAACAAAATGTATGGGGATGATGGGAGCTGTATTGCAGCACAATCTTGAAGGCACCAATTTGGAAAGGGATTCTAGTTGCAGTGCCTAAAGGAAGTGATGGTATTAAGTATGTGGCCCAGTACCACCTGTGGCTGTGATGTGGCCAGAAGAATGATTGCAATCCATCCTTCATTCTGAGCAGTGACTCATCACCAAAGTCAACCTTCTTACATAGCAGGAGGAATACTGAACTCAGATCTCTTTATCTGCATCTGTTCACTGCAACCCTTACACAAAAATGTAAGCATGTGGGTGGGTGCACTTTGCATATAGCATTAGCCATCCAAATTATGTACTGCATGCTTTGCATATGCAGGAGAGGAGGAAATCAACTCTAGATGTGCCAGAATGGCATATTAGGCCAAACAGTCTTTTTAAAAAAGTCATTTCCAGAGCTAGAAAACTGCTAGATATGCTGAGGATACATCCCGTCCTATAAGAGCCCAGCAGCGCCATTAAGTAAAATTAACTTGTTTCAGAAGAAAAACGACTTTGATCAACATATGTTGGCAATAAATATAGGAACGGTGACAGCTGTAGGACTTCAAAGGGCCTCCTCCTGCACAAGCCTATTCATTTGCATTGCCCTATATTCCTGTCCCTTTCAATACATTCACATTGGAAGCCCACGAGTTCAACAGCTGCTCTTCAAGCAGGACCAAAGACATTTCTGTCACTGGACCAAAATTGGCGACATAATATTCAGCTTATTATTCAAATGCAAAAATGTAATAAGAGATAATGAAATACTAAAATGACATCCTGTCTCTGTTTGGGTCGAAATCAGCCTGTCATCTCACTTGAGCCGTGAATGGAGGGTGAGCTTGAGGATGAGGACAAATGAGTAATTTACCCATTGGCAGGTCCAGCAGGAAAGCAGACTGAGGGATACGTGGGCTGGCATCCACAGCATATATTGCCAAGCCAAACAGTGGAATATATTTGTATGCAATTAAAATTAATGATAATTTACAGCTAAAAGCACCCAATAAAAGAATAACTGGGGCTCTAGAAATGGGGAGAGAGCTTCCATATTGCTTTCTCTTCATTAAGATACAGAAATAACACCGTGGGTCTGAATATAAAGTATACCCTACAGGCACTTTTTAAAGACATGCTATAGAAGAAAAGTAGGGTTTTTTTCCCCCACATACCATAGACTCAGGAAGGAGTAATGTGAAACATTTAGGTCACAGTAATCTAAATCTAATTACTCTTCCAAAGCAATGTAGACTTATCCAAAAACTACTGAATGGTAATTTTACAGTTATGGAAATGCCATTGGTTCAATGGATCATTTCTAGTTGGGGCTGGCACCTAAATTAAGACTTATGAATAGTTTTGCGCATGACTCCATGGTGCAGACTGTTCTGTATTTCTTCATAGTATACAAAATCTTTTTTTAAAAAACAGCCCTTTTGACTATAATGTCCAGAAGTTTTCATCCAGCATGGTAGTCCGACATAGTACCGTATATACTTGAGCATAAGCCGACCCAAATATAAGCCGAGGCACCTAATTTTACCACAAAAAACTGGGGAAACATATTGACTCGAG